ACCTAATTTAACTAAAAACAACTCAACCGAAGCAGATATAACTCAAACCGAATAAGAAATATATCCCACCGAAACTATTAGCAGGGTAAAAGTTGAAAATGAACTAAATTTGTGATTATTTCAAGAGAAACGTCCAATAATTTTAAAACAGATATGTTTCTTTTTTGTTTTCGTTTGCCATTGTAGGAAGTTTTTGCTTTTAAGGAAAAAACATAACGAAGGACTGTAAACCTGCACAATTGACTGTATTTAACAACAAAATAACCTGCCATAAGAAAATGTTTTTGCTGGACCAAACTTAATAATAATCTAAGGATCATAATTATAAATGTTTTTTCCGTATTTACTACTGTTTTAATAGTCCACCTTTAAAAGAAAGTATTTCTCTCTGAATTCAACCAAGTAACTGCATCGATTTGAAGTAAATAAATATTAAAAAAAATCTATTTTATCTATGTACTTATTAAGGTTGTACTATTGAGATACTTTTCAGTGTTACAAAAAAGAATTATGATAGGTATTCAATGTGATTTTGGCCTGAAGTTAGACCATATTTGTAAATGTAAAATAATAAACAAATTAGTGAGTATATCTGCATGTAAAATAGAACTTCCTAAATGTTCAGCTTGCATAGAGAGAAACATTTTTTCATCAAATTATACGAAAACTTTCCTGATAAAGTTTTTATGAAGCACATCAGAGAGTAAATTGATTAAGTGTTGGAAATATTTCTCTTGAACCTTTTTTGGTCGTTTTTGTAAAAGAAGAAAAGTAATTTTACTCTCTGAGTTTAATGAACTAACAGAGACTTTCAATAGTTTTTTGACTTGAAACATTTTTCTCTTTATTAACAAAGATCGTGCATAACACACTTGTGGCCTATTTTTTTAAATATTCCGCTTGGGTGTTTCGTAATATGAATTAAATTTGTTCAGAAACTATTAATGTTGTTTTATTTACGTTCACCTATCCTTTTTTAAAGAATCAAGAAGAGAAATTACATTATTTGAAAAGGTAAGTAAAAGAAAAATGTGTTAAAGAAAAATGTGTGAATTAAATAAGTAAAAGGGGTGTAAGATGGCTTGATAAAATTGCCTAGATTAATTCTACTGAAATTTGTTTGATTATACGTGTTAAAATTTATAATAAATCAGTTTTTAAAAAGTAGTTCATATGTACCAAATTGTATACTGACTTACAAATTGTTTTATTTTATTTATTCCCATTGCGTATGCATAATAAATTGATCTAGGTGGATTTAATTAGAATATTTGAAATAAAATACATGTTTTTGAAAATTTATCTTTCATATTAGAAGAGTAGTGAAAATTTGGATTATGTTTAGATAATATTGGTCCTGTAAGCTAAAATTATTTCCTAAAACGAGAGTGCTATATTCTGCTAATGACACCTAATTTAACTAAAAACAACTCAACCGAAGCAGATATAACTCAAACCGAATAAGAAATATATCCCACCGAAACTATTAGCAGGGTAAAAGTTGAAAATGAACTAAATTTGTGATTATTTCAAGAGAAACGTCCAATAATTTTAAAACAGGTATGTTTCTTTTTTGTTTTCGTTTGCCATTGTAGGAAGTTTTTGCTTTTAAGGAAAAAAACATAACGAAGGACTGTAAACCTGCACAATTGACTGTATTTAACAAAAAAAATAACCTGCCATAAGAAAATGTTTTGCTGGACCAAACTTAATAATAATCTAAGGATCATAATTATAAATGTTTTTTCCGTATTTACTACTGTTTTAATAGTCCACCTTTAAAAGAAAGTATTTCTCTCTGAATTCAACCAAGTAACTGCATCGATTTGAAGTAAATAAATATTAAAAAAATCTATTTTATCTATGTACTTATTAAGGTTGGACTAATGAGATACTTTTCAGTGTTACAAAAAAAGAATTATGATAGGTATTCAATGTGATTTTGGCCTGAAGTTAGACCATATTTGTAAATGTAAAATAATAAACAAATTAGTGAGTATATCTGCATGTAAAGTAGAACTTCCTAAATGTTAAGCTTGCATAGAGAGAAACATTTTTTCTTCAAATTATACGAAAACTTTTCTGATAAAGTTTTTATGAAGCACATCAGAGAGTAAATTGAGTAAGTGTTGGAAATATTTCTCTTGAACCTTTTTTGGTCGTTTTTGTAAAAGAAGAAAAGTAATTTTACTCTCTGAGTTTAATGAACTAACAGAGACTTTCAATAGTTTTTTGACTTGAAACATTTTTCTCTTTATTAACAAAGATCGCGCATAACACACTTGTGGCCTATTTTTTTAAATATTCCGCTTGGGTGTTTCGTAATATGAATTAAATTTGTTCAGAAACTATTAGTGTTGTTTTATTTACGTTCACCTATCCTTTTTTAAAGAATCAAGAAGAGAAATTACATTATTTGAAAAGGTAAGTAAAAGAAAAATGTGTGAATTAAATAAGTAAAAGGGGTGTAAGATGGCTTGATAAAATTACCTAAATCAATTCTACTGAAATTTGTTTGATTATACGTGTTAAAATTTATAATAAATCAGTTTTTAAAAAGTAGTTCATATGTACCAAATTGTATACTGACTTACAAATTGTTTTATTTTATTTATTCCCATTGCTTATGCATAATAAATTGATCTAGGTGGGTTTAATTAGAATATTTGAAATAAAATACATGTTTTTGAAAATTATCTTTCATATTAGAAGAGTAGTGAAAATTTGGATTATGTTTAGATAATATTGGTCCTGTAAGCTAAAATTATTTCCTAAAACGAGAGTGCTATATTCTGCTAATGACACCTAATTTAACTAAAAACAACTCAACCGAAGCAGATATAACTCAAACCGAATAAGAAATATATCCCACCGAAACTATTAGCAGGGTAAAAGTTGAAAATGAACTAAATTTGTGATTTTCAAGAGAAACGTCCAATAATTTTAAAACAGATATGTTTCTTTTTTGTTTTCGTTTGCCATTGTAGGAAGTTTTTGCTTTTAAGGAAAAAAACATAACGAAGGACTGTAAACCTGCACAATTGACTGTATTTAACAAAAAAAAACCTGCCATAAGAAAATGTTTTTGCTGGACCAAACTTAATAATAATCTAAGGATCATAATTATAAATGTTTTTTTCCGTATTTACTACTGTTTTAATAGTCCACCTTTAAAAGAAAGTATTTCTCTCTGAATTCAACCAAGTAACTGCATCGATTTGAAGTAAATAATATTAAAAATATCTATATTATCTATGTACTTATTAAGGTTGGACTATTGAGATACTTTTCAGTGTTACAAAAAAAGAATTATGATAGGTATTCAATGTGATTTTGGCCTGAAGTTAGACCATATTTGTAAATGTAAAATAATAAACAAATTAGTGAGTATATCTGCATGTAAAATAGAACTTCCTAAATGTTAAGCTTGCATAGAGAGAAACATTTTTTCATCAAATTATACGAAAACTTTCCTGATAAAGTTTTTATGAAGCACATCAGAGAGTAAATTGAGTAAGTGTTGGAAATATTTCTCTTGAACCTTTTTTGGTCGTTTTTGTAAAAGAAGAAAAGTAATTTTACTCTCTGAGTTTAATGAACTAACAGAGACTTTCAATAGTTTTTTGACTTGAAACATTTTTCTCTTTATTAACAAAGATCGCGCATAACGCACTTGTGGCCTATTTTTTTAAATATTCCGCTTGGGTGTTTCGTAATATGAATTAAATTTGTTCAGAAACTATTAGTGTCGTTTTATTTACGTTCACCTATCCTTTGTTAAAGAATCAAGAAGAGAAATGACATTTAAAATGGTAAGTAAAAGAAAAATGTGTTCGGAAAATTTAGTCGCCCTGTATATCGTAGCTGAATTAAATAAGTAAAAGGGGTGTAAGATGGCTTGATAAAATTACCTAAATCAATTCTACTGAAATTTGTTTGATTATACGTGTTAAAATGTATAATAAATCAGTTTTTAAAAAGTAGTTCATATGTACCAAATTGTTTCAAGCGTACAGTGACTTATAACTTGTTTTATTTTATTTCCTCACATTGCTAATGTATAATAAATTGATCTAGGTAGAAACAAAATACATGTTTTGAGAATTTATCTTTCATACTAGAATAGTAGTGAAAATTTGGACTTGGTGATTGGAGTACTAGGTCAACGAGACAGAAGAGTTAGATTTTTTTCGAAAATCGCTAATTACGGCCAAACTAATTAAGGTAGAGAAGTGCCTTTAGGGCCATTTGATAGACAATTCAATTCTCTATCTGTGCAGAAAACTTGGTACCAATAAGGAATAGTTTGTTTTCCGTTCCAATAAATTTCTATAGCCTTGCACGATTTTTTGCATCAAATTTTTTTCTGCTCCGATTGTGCCCTTATAGAGGGCTGAATTCCCTATCGAGTACCCTCTTCTGTTCTCCGATATCTCTCATAGTTTTTGAAATGCTTTAATTTTTTAAAAGGCTTTAATTTTTGAAACGAGGTCAAAATGCTAGAGTCAACAGAAATATCGTTGATCGATGCTATATTTACATGTAGTACTCATTTTGTTTCTTACCTCTTCACCCTTATGCGGTCCTGATACAAATCAGTGATTTTGGCTAGGTTTAAAAATTTTCGTGCAATCGTCAAGTTGAATTTTCTCGTATTTGTATCAGGAGTACATAAGAGCGACTAGGTAAATATTGGTTCTCAATTTACTCCTTACCTCTTCACACTTAGTATGTGTTCCTGATAGAAACTCTCTGCGAAGTACAGTATGATCGAATAAAAACGGCGTCAGCGATGGCTATGAAATGAAGATCGCTGTCATTTTATATGTAAAATTATATGGGAAATGTCAACGATCGTCATTTCCCAGCCAACTGGACGCCGTTTTTTTTTTCGATCATACGGTATTATGAATCAAGTTTGTTTTACTAAAAATAACTCAACTGAACACATAAGGTGTTCACGTAAATATATTCGGCAATATGATTTAATAAAACAACGATTAGAAGAAATTATCCTTTACTATGTATTATACAACAAAAACAGTAGCAAGCATTTTCCAAAAAAACGGATATGTTCCCGACCTAAATAATCTTATCACAAAAAATTAAGGTACTGTACAAAACAAAGGGATATAGCCATGAAAATTTCTACAATTCGATAAGAGTGACCCAGTCTGAAGTATTATCATAGAAAATATATGACACAATAAATATTATTTTATACTTTTCAGACTTCTAAACTGATATAACATGCACGTACTACCCATACTACATTTTACAATTGATAATAATTTATAAAAAATAACACATTTTCTGAACATACTCCCTAGATAGAGGGCCTTAAAAATCCGTATACAGGGTGATCCAAATTGTATTCGGGAAATTTCATATCATAAAAAATCATATTCTGCAGATAAAAATGAGAAAAACAAGTTCGTATAAATATTTTATTAGAGGGTGTAGAAGTTAGTGAAGTAATTTTTATTTCAAATTTTTCCAAATAATTTCTGATCTACAGTGGATAGTTGGATGAATATTGGGGTCTGGGTATTTTTTACCATGAGAAATTTGATTAATGAGTTGAAGAGTAATAACTTTTTTATTTTATTTTCGTTTATATTCTTATAGTAAAGTATTAAATAATTCTAGTAATTTAAAAAAAAATATTTATTTGCTATTTGCGATTTATAACTGCGAAATACTAGAATTTAAAGGACTAATAAAAATATAGGATCTTCTTTCAATGCGCAGTAGGGAACGCAACATTTACCGGCAGCCACACGAGCCGCATGCTGTTCTAGAAAGCATAGTAAAAGATATATCAAAGAGCCAGACGTCTTAAAATACTTGTTTTTCCGACATTGCTAGCTCTCGTACTAATAGATGTTAGTTAAAAAAACATTTATAAAAAACGAAATTATTTAAAAAAATTCGAAATAAAAATTGAAATTTCTACTCCCTGTATCTCCAAAGCATTTTACGATATGCTTTTATACAAACTGTTTTACTTATTTTGATCTACAGAATACGTTGTCGAAGTTCCCGATTACATTTCGGACCACCCTGTATATTAACACCCCGTATCGTGTATCGTACACACGCCTAGTGCGTAACGAATTAAGTAAATATATGTAGGTACCAAAATCGATAGACTAAATTAAATATAAATAATAAAGTTAAAACATAACCTCTACATAATAAATTTCCCTTATGTAAGGGTTTCTCTATACAAAAATATTACAAAATAAGTTAACAAAAAAAACTGTATAGAACTATGATGTATTTAAAAAGAAATCTCTTTCTTCATGTCCAGCGTTAACGGATCCGGTTTTATCATATCAGGTAAGTTCTGAAAAGAACAAATATTTTAATATTTAATAATAATATTCAAGTCTTTGATGACGTCAACTTTTATTGATATCTCTATACAGGCTGTACCAGGCTGAGCGTGTATTAAGTTTTAGCAGCAGCATTTATAATATAGTAAATTCAAATAATTATTTTTTTGGCAGAAGGAAATAAACTGTCTGATGGTCTGACACTTAATCTCAAAGGAAGCTAGATAAAATGAAGAAAAAATTACGCTTTGAAACTAAATTTTAAATAACTTGAAAACGATTTATTTTAGGTATAGGAACATGTATAATCAAAAAGTAACGAACTGAAAATCCCTTTCTCTAATGAAATAAAAAAAATCAAAAAGGTTCCATTTGAAAAAAAAACAATTCACAAAAACGGTTAATGTTAGGTATAGAGTGTTTGATATCAAAATTCATAAAATTTTACAGAGAATGTAAGTATGTAATAAAAAATGGGAGTCCCCATTTAAAATAAGAAAGTTGCTGTCAACTTCCTGTATTTCCGGAAGTGCCGCCATATTGAAAATATTTTTAATTGGTAGATCTCATTGTGAAACAATGATGTGCGAAACATCTCCGATCTAAATCTTGTAGTTCTCTAGAAACTTCTAATGCACACTCAGCCTGGGACACTCTGTATATCATTAGTTGTTCATTAAATAACATAATTTGTTTACTATACTCTATCTTACCTCTAAAATAATGGGGTTGTTCATTTGAATGCTCGTCGAATACACGTTTATCCTTTGCATTTCCTGTTGCTGCACCTGGTGGCTCATCTGTTGATGTTGAACGGCTTCAACATGTTGCTGATGCTGAGCTGCTTGCTGAGCCTGTCTTTCCATTTCCTCTCTGTAACAGAAGCAATTAAATAGTGATGTGTCGGTATTTGAGTAACGCGATTTTGGAGCGGTATTTTTTTGTAACGTTGTGTCGCGCTCCACAACGAATCAGGAACCTATTACTGAAGAACGACGACAAAATTATAAATTATTTATAATTTGCAAATAAATTATTTATAATCGCTCTTAAAGTTACCTCGAACCATAGTAACCGCATAGTAGTGATGGGCAAAACTGTTATTTTTAGATATCAGTTGAAACTGTTATAGTTATTTATAAATAACAGCTTAAAAATAACAGGTTTCTTTATTTTATTGCTAAATATCTGAAATAGTATGAAGCGGTCATCGCCAGGCGTATTAACGCAGTTGCAAGTTGCAACAATGACATGCTCGGTGGTAGTATTTCCAGGGTGTCAAAACATTTCTAAATATCGATTGTTATCTAAAATACCTCTCTAAAAACGGTCGTTGTTTACAAATAAGCGCTGTTTACAAATTGCGATATAAAAAAGCCAAAATTCCGCCACTCGTCTATACGTATACATTCCGATCTACCTACGCCTTGCCCCTCGATCGGCGTAGATCCTGAATTGCGTAGCAGTGTACAGGGTGCATCTCACTCGACGGGCGAGAAGCTCTTAGTTATAATTTTACCATATGCGGTCAAAAAATAGCAATATAAGAAAATGTGTAGTATATTCTTCATAAGTAAACCAACTACACACTAGAGTTCGAATTAATTTCACACTTAAATTAGCGTGTACCAGCGACTTCGTTCGCGTCGAATTAATAATTTGTAATGGTGATGATAAAGCAAAGCAAGAATTTCTATTAACATACAAACTGGATAAAATTTTCTCACATTTGCCAAAAATAAGCTTTAAACGTCAAGCAGTTTAAGCAGAATCGTGGTTAATCAATTACTCAACTTTTTGGAACACCCTGTATTATTTTTTTAAAAATTTCAAAATATGTAAAAAAACAAAATAAATTATGCGTGTCCAAGCGTTTTCCCGAAAGACTAACCGTTTTTTAAATAACAAATATTGTAATATTTGAGGGGCTATCTCGAATCTTAAATTCCAAGGGGTTTTCACCCTCTTGGAATTTAAGATTCGAGAAACCTCTCCTTATCGAACCTCAACCCCACAGTCAATCCGTTTGCCAAAAATCAGCTTTAAACGTCAAGCAGTTTAAGCAGAATCGTGATTACTCAATGGTCACATTTTATGAAACACCCTGTATATATTTTTAAAAAATCTTAAAATATGTAAAACAACGAAATAAAATATACGTGTTTAAGAGTTTTCCGAAAAACTCACCGGTTTTTAAATAAAAAATATTCTAATATTTGAGGGTGGTTTCACCCCCTTAGAATTCGAGTTTCGAAAAATCCCTTCTTATCGAACCTCTACACCCTAAAGTTAATCCGTTTTCCAAAAATCAGCTTTTTACGTCAAGGGCTTTAAGCAGGATCGTGATTAATCAATGACCAGATTTTTCAAAACACCCTGTATACATTTTTAAAAAATCTTAAAATATTATTCTGAAAATTTTTCAGAATAAATAAATACCTAAATATTAAAACTTAATAACGTACTGAAACATACTGCGCCATAATATCTCGACCTCTGCCCGTTATGCTCGTAACACGTTGAAAAACAATATATCTAAAAGAACTGATGCGTTATTCTCCAACCTGTTTCGAACTTCCAACGACAATCGACCGATGCAGCAGCGTTCCCTTCCCACTCCGATTATCTCGACTGTCACCCTGTTATGCTCGTAACAGGTTGAAAAACAACGTATCTAAAATGACTGCTTCTCCAACCCGTTGCGAGCCTCCATCGACAATCGACCGATGCAGCAGCCTTCCTTTCCCACTCCTGTTATCTCGACCGCCAGGCGTTATGCCCGCAAATGTTTCAAAAAACCTGCTTCTTTTATATCCTATTATTTTTAAGCTGTTGTAAGCCCAATACGACCGTCGACGGGATCGACCGAAGCAGCTACGTTCGCCGTAGCGCATTCCCCACTCCGTTGTCTCGCCGCCTGTATCGATGGTTGACGAAATAACATGTTTTCCATCCATACTAGTTGTTTTTTGGAATTGCTTCGAGCAGCATAGAATTTTGGGGCGGTGCAGAGCGCCGACTTCGTTTTTCGTTTCACGAGCGGCCGATCTCTACGTGTCGTTATTTTATATCTGTTATTTTTTAGAAGTAGTAACGGTTGCGTTATGTTATTTCTAAATAATTGTTATAAAATAACAGATAGTTAAGTAACAACCCATCACTACCGCATAGCGACGTGTTTAGCACCAGCCATCGCGATTTCGTCGGTAGTCAACAGTAGTAACTGGAACTGGTATGTAAGCCGTCGCGTTCCTAGAGCCGTAGTTCTGCCTGTCGCGAATAGAAGTAACTGGTCCCTGCTGTAACTGATTATCGATGTACCTCGTTCCAGCAGTCGCTGGAGCGCTTCTAGGGTTCCGGTTGTGCCTGTCGCGATTTGGTCGGTTACTATTGGCGTTGGTGCTCCCGTCGCTACGTTACTTTCGAAATAGCGATTTTTGGTATGTACTAGACATGGCATAAAATAGCGTTGTTTGAAAGATGAAACGCAAAAGCAAATAAAATAAAATAAAAATATTTTATTTGCTTTTATACATTTATATAAGTTTTTATTGACAAAAGCCAGTATCTGGGACGGCTTTATAGAGGGTAATCCTCCATCTCCAATATCAGTTGTATCTAAGTTTATGGCACGAATGATTGTAACAGCTAGTAGAATTGTAAGAACCTGACAACATTGGTTGGGAGTAGGTAGGTACGAATGCCAGAAATACTGCATAAGCGTGATACTTTGGAAGTCGGAACGTCGGTTACAAAATTGCGATATTTTGTCGCGGTATTTTTCTGGAACGGTCGCTGTTGTAACGCGACTCACATGGAACCGGTATTCCCATCACTACAATTAAATCAGAGAACGAATCATAAATTAAGGAATAAAATACTTACTTTCTTTTTTTAACCGATCCAGAGTGGAATCTGCCTCCTTCACCTCTAATTCTGTTCATGGCGTGTCGATGTCTAGATTCGTGAAGATATTTCTAGAAAAATAAATAATTTGTTTGGTTAATGTTATTTATCGGGTGGATAGTATTGAGGCTGAGAATTTTCAAGCTTCGCATATTTAAAGCTAAAATATAATTTTAAATAAAAAAAAATGTATATAAATTACTCACAGGTCTTTCTTTTGGTATTTTCCCTTCAGCTTCTAACTTCGCCCGAGCTTGCCGTCTCTTCAAAATTCTTCTGTACTGTTTGGCGTTGACATACAATGGTTCTTCTTCAAGAAATTCTTGACCCGGTATTGGAACTCTTTGGAACTGTGTTGAACTAGATGCTGGCACCATCTATTTAAAGAAGTAGATCATTGTAATATTAAATTACATAGCGAGTAAAGATGTGTTTGATTACTCCAGGGTTTGTATACCACTTTATATACCACCACACCATTAATCAAAGTGTCTAAGGACAATACTTTAGTTTAAAAAGGCCTTATTAACATAAATGTGATAAATGTTAACCTCCACTAACATAAAAAATAAAATTAAAAATTAAAAAATTATCATAAATCATTTTTTTCCAATGGAAACCCACTTTTTTTATTTCGCTAGTAAAAAGGCTTTTTAATTCGTTACTTTTTAACTATACATGTTCCTATACCTAAAATAAATAGTTTTAAAGTTATTTAAGATTTAGTTTTAAAGCGTATATTTTTCTTGATTTTAACCAGTAGCACAGAATATCTAGCTACGCAACAGAAAAATATTCGAAATGAAAGAGCTAAAATTGCACAAATAAAATACTAGATGGCGCGACAATATCATAATCAGAATATAATTGGAAATTTTCAACTTTCGGTTTTGGATCGACGTAGATCGACGGCACGTCAACGGCCTTGAAGCTTGGCTAAAAATGCACAGTTGCCAGATTCAAACAGACTTTAATTGGCCTCCCATTCTTTTTCTGGTGTATAATAATTCCTTTCTATTCTTCGTTTCTTGTCAGATACACTTATATTAATTATTCGTTTGGCTTTTAAAATAGTTTTAATTTTAAGTATATTATTAGAAAACATATGCTCTCAAAATACATTTTTAATATACACTACTTTATTATGTTAACTAAGAAAATAACTTTAACTACCTTTAAAATTAATAATATACAGAGCGATTGATAGTGATATTTATTAATGCTGAAACGTTAGTAATGAAATATACGTTTAATAATAATGGAAATGATTTATTAAAATGCAGTACAAAAAATGTTAATTGACTAAAAAAATACTATAATAATAATTTTTTCTGTATGCCACGTTATTTATATAGACCTAGGTAGATTTTAAAAAGTGACACAGGTACAATTAATAATATATTAGTTCGGCATAAAAGTTGCTGTCACCGAAATCGTACAATAAATTAAAATTCATAAAATAAATTAAAATTATTAATTAAACAAATCTTTATAAAGAAACACAAGTATATCAAATTTGGGCACAATCGAACGGCAGGAAATGGTATCGTAATATGGTACTACATTATGGTACCCCTTGATATGCTTCATGGTACCATAATATTGCAATGTCATCAAAAATACGCAAGTATAATCAAATATGAGCCCAATCGAACGTCAGGAAGTGGTATCGTAATATGGTACTATATTAAGGTACCACTTTATATATGCATCATAGTACAATGTCACCGAAGATACTTACTATACCAAGTTAAGCCCAATCGAACGCCAGGAAATGTATCGTATATGGTACTATGATATGCTCTTGATATGCTTCATGGTACCATAATATTGCAATGTCATCAAAAATATGCAAGTATATATCAAATATGAGCCCAAATGAACGTCAGGAAGTGGTATCATAATATGGTACTATAGAAGGTACCAATTTATATGCTCCATGGTGCCATCATATTACGATGTTACCGAAAATACGTAGTATACAAAGTTTATGCTCAATCGAACGCCAGGAAATGGTATCGTAATATGGTACTATATTATGGTACCCCTTAATATGCTTCATGGTACCATAATATTGTAATGTCATCAAAAATACGCAAGTATAATCAAATATGAGCCCAATCGCACGCCAGGAAATGGTATCGTATATGGTACCTCTATGTACTATTATGGTACCTCTTGATATGCTTCATGGTACCATAATATTACAATGTCACTGAAGATACGTAATATACCAAGTTTAAGCCCAATCGAACGCCATGTATCGTAATATGGTACTATATTACGGTATCACTTGCATCATGGTACCATAATATTGCAATGTCATGAAAAATACGCAAGTATATATCAAATACCGTACGATACCGAAAAAAACGGCGTCCAGTTGGCTGGGAAAAGACGATCGATGCCATTTCCCATATAAATTTACACATAAAATGACAGCGATTTTCATTTCATAGCCATCGCTAACGCCGTTTTTTCCCGATCATACGGTATGAACACAATCGAACGTCAGGAAGTGGTGTCGTAATAGTAGAACAATACTTATTTTATTGTCGCCGAATTACAATCAAAATTCAGGATTCAGTTAGAATCAAACGTCAGGAAGTGATTTTAATTCAGCTCGTAAGATTTAACTCCAACTAACATGGCGAGTTAAATACTTAAACGTTTGAAAAAAGAGCTCTAATCTATTTTAATATGTTTAAATGATGTAGCAAATTTGAAGCTAAGCTTTATCAGGAAATATTACAATATAAATTACACAATGGCAACACTGCATAAAATTCTTTTAAATTTCGTTTGTAGAAAACTGTTTTCTTTTAAATTTATCGCCCTCTGTTATGTAGTAGTGAAACTACCGCATCAAAATATCCGATTTGGAGACAGGCTTTTAAAGCCTGTCTCTTTTTGAGACCTACGATTTTATGCATGTAACGAGGCTTCTGTTGCGTAGCTAGATATTCTGTGCCAGTAGGCTATGACTTTAAACGTCAAGTAATAGAATAGATAAAACAATAGATCTGGCCATGTTATATTGTGACGCTTTGTTCAAAATGCAGCATTATTTTCGAGCCAACTTTGCGCTGTTTTTTCTTCGATCATACGGAATATTATTAATAATATCAACTATTAGATATCGCTAAAGAGCGAAAATACGAGATATATTTTTATAAATACACTTTTTAAATTCTTAAGCAGGCAATATTTATACTATAAATACTGCCTGATAATTAATTTTCTGACAGATGGAAATAAATTGTCTGACCGTTTGACACTTAATGTCAAAGGAAGCTAGATAAAATGAAGAAAAATATACGTTTTCAAACTAAATCTTAAAATAACTTAAAAACGATTTATTTTAGGCATTAGTGAAATAAAAAAAGGTGGGTTTCCATTTGAAAAAAATGATTTATGATAATTTTTTAATCACTCAATTCCATGACAGCTACCGCCATTATTAACTATTTCATTTTTTAAATAGATAGCCACATGTCTTCTCTTTATATCACAGTGGCTGTGGCAATCACTAAGTTTGACTTTTAGGCTATACAAATTTTTTTGACAGGTAGTTTTTTTCGTCCAAAAATTTTAAATTTTTTTCTCTCAAAAACGGTTAATGTTAGATATAGAGTGTTTAATATCAAAATTCATAAAATTTTACAGAGAATTTAAGTACATAATAAAAAATGGGGGCACCCATTTAACATAAGAAAGTTGCTGTCAACTTCCGGTATTTCCGGAAGTGCCGCCATATTGAAAATATTTTTAATCGATAGATCTCGTTGTAAAACAATGATGTGCAAAAAATCTCCGATCTAGATTTTGTGGTTCTCTAGAAACTTCTAATGCACGCTCAGCCTGGGACACCCTGTATACACTTTTGTTTTAATCATGTGCTGATCTTCCGCCAAAATCACAAATGATGAATCCCTCAACCATACAAACGAACTACCAAGCTTAGAATCGATAGTAACAGCGATGAAGATCATTCTCTTTCGATTTAATCATCCAAACCATCCGAGAGTTGCGTATCTTCACCGCTATCTCAGTTTTTTACTACGTACGTCCGGATTGGTCCTCACCATGACTAAATTCCCATTAGCCATAGCCAGTTGTCCGTTGGGCGCCTGTTGGACTACTGTGGGCGCGGTAGGTGACGTCACGGTAGGCTGGGCCACCGTCTGGGTCGTCGTAGGCTGGGGTGCGTTGGCTATTTGAACTAGGTTACCGTTGATATTTAATACTGAAAAAAAATGGAAATTAATATACCGCTAATATCTGCAAACCCGTTAAAAATTTTAAAATACTTCAAATATAAAAAATGTTAATTATTTAATTATCCATCAAACAAAAAATACCTGTTGGAGCTTGTTGCAAATTGCTGCCTTCAATAACAGCACTGGGTTGATATATAAACGTTTGGCCATCCATTGTTTGAACAATTTGGGGCTGTTGAGCTTGCTGGACTAATACTTGTCCCTGTTGAAGACTACTCACAGGAACCACCTACAAATATAACAGTAATATAAGAATAAAAATAACCAATCAAAAAAGAAAGTAATCAGGCACATGGAAACCAGTTTCACGGTAACTTTTTAATAGTACCTAAATGTATTATGTATATTTATTTGCCTGCGATTAGTAGGTAATCTACCTCTTAATCTATGTATATGCAAAAAAAAACAATATAAAAAAATGCTATACACATATTTTGTACATATTTAATGCTGATTAACTTGGTATCAACGCCGAAACCACTTGACATAGAAGCACAAAATTTGGCACATAAGATCCTTGAGTATGTAAGTGAGCACTAAGAAGAAATTTTTGAAAATTTGCCCTCTAAAGGGGTGAAATAAGGGGTGAATTTTGTATACAAAAAAAAATAAAATCTGTCCTAGCACTTGAAAATTTGCACTGAGGTCTCTTATGTGGCGTAATTGTAAATTAACAGTCAGAAGCGACTTTCGAAAATTCATCTCCTAAGGGGGTGAAACCAGGGGGGTGACAGTAAACCGGAAAATTGGAAACAGTTCTGGCGCGGTCTTACCCAGGCAGAAAGCATGGCCTTCTAGACTGTCCTAGACAAAAATCTGACTATTTCTATATGATTTCTGTCAATTTCTGCTACGGAACATTTTTATGCACGTCGGCATCTTCTGTTCGTTTGTTCTTTTGTCTTTTGTCTGTGTGTCAGCGTCAGCTCCCGAGGCCTCTGGCAAGGTCGGGCGCCATTTTAATTTTTGCCGTTTAGATTTGATTGGAAGTTTGTTTCTGATATTTCGGCTGAAATTTATAAGTACAAAGATGTTTTTTGATATAAAGTTCCTTGTTAACACTTTAATAAAGTATATATGATATTAATTACATGAAGAAAATGATGAAATCGACGTTTCTGCGTGTAGTAGGTATGGGCCATATTATATGTAAAAATAGGTAATATATTAACTGTTTTTATATTTTTTAGCTTTAAACCCAAGGATCTTGGGATATTCTTTGCCAAGGATTTTTCCGTATCTCTACTTTAAAGACAGATCGGTGATTTTGAGCAATTGAAAGCAAGTTATACAAGGTAAATTATGATTATTGAACTATTATTAGCCTACATTAATTTTCTACAAGATGAACAGAAATGCGTAATTACATATCACATAGGTACCTATTATGTATTTTCATAGCAATAATGCTATAAATCTATGTATGTAGATTATTTTTAAAATACAAATGAGGTATTAGATGTATATGTATCATATTTTTTATTCATTTTATTTTCATTCAAGTCCTGTTTGATTTAATTCACAAAAGTTTTATGTACCTATATTTATGTTTTTTACATATTTTTTTTTGATTTCAGGTTTTGTGTGGGTTCCGGTTGCCTTTTTCCTGGTTCCAGTTATTAAGTTTTATGCCCGTGAAGCTGTGAAAACATTTATTTATCTTCAAGTTTCTGTAAGTCAATGCACTGTTACTTTACTAATTCACTTTAACACAGCATCTCTGATATTATTTGAATATTTGATATTGATACAGTAGTTTATTGGATTATAGCTCTTTAATTGTGTTGATTTGCATATTTACATTGTTCTAAATTCCAAATAAATATTTTTGAGTAATTTTGTTGTATTATTTACTACTAAAAAGTATATTAACCCTCATTTAAACCTCCTGAACAGCCCGCCATTAAAAACCGGAAACGGAAATAAATTTCATAAAATTGAAATTGTCATGTCTATGTCATGTCAAATGTCCCAGCCGCCATATCTGAAAATTAGTTACCCAGGCAGCCACGCTGTTTCCATAATTTAACATTGACTTGACACTTCTTCTTGTATTTATTATTTTATGGGTGAAACTAGGGGTGAAGGTGAAATGTATGATTTTTTTGAAAAATTATTCCTAGCAGTATGAAATTTTGTAGTGACGAAGGTGAGTATTTAGAAACGAGTTTTTTGGAAATTCATCTCCTAAGAGGGTGAAATAAGGGTTCAAGAAGAAATTTTCGAAAATTCATCTCCTAAGAGGGTGAAACTGGGGGTGAAATTTTGTATGATTTTTTTGAAAAATTAGTCCTAGGAGTGTATGAAATTTTGTAGTGACGAAAGTGAGTACTTAGAAACTAGTTTTTTGGAAATGCATCTCCTAAGAGGGTGAACTAGGGGATAAAAGTTGGTACAAAAATTTGTAAAAATCCGTATTAAATTTCGCATAAACGTTCCTTAGATAACGTAACTGAGCACTAAAAAGAATTTTTTGGATATTCGCCCTCTAAGGAGGTGAATGCTCTGAAAAAAAAGGTGTCCTAGCAGTATGAAATCTTGCACAGAGATGTGGCGTAACTTAACTGTTAGGAGCGAATTTCGAAAATTCATCACCAGTTAAACTAGGGGTGAAATTATGTATGATTTTTTTTTTGAAAAATTAGTCCTAGGAGTATGAAATCTTGTACTGACGAAAGTGAGTACTTAGAAACGAGTTTTTAACGTATCTGAGCATTAAAAAGCCCTTATTATTCGCCCTTTAAGGAGGTGAATGCTCTCAAAAAAATCTGTCCTAGCAGTATGAAATTTTGCACAGAGGTCTCTTCTGTGGCGTAATTGAACAGTTAGAAGCGATTTTTGAAAATGCTTCACCTAAGGGGGTGAAACTGGGAGTGAAATTATGTATATTTTTGAAAAATTAGTCCTAAGAGTATGAAATTTTGTAGTGACAAAAGTGCGTACTTAGGAACGAGTTTTTTGGAAATTCATCTCCTAAGAGGGTGAAATAAGGGGTGAAAGTTGGTAAAAAAATTTGTAAAAATCCATATTAAATTTTGCATAAATGTTCCTTAGATAACGTAACTGAGCACAAAAAATAATTTTTTGGATATTCGCCCTCTAAGGAGGTGAATGCTCTGAAAAAAATGTGTCCTAGCAGTATGAAATCTTGCACAGAGGTCTCTTATGTGGCGTAACTTAACAGTTAGGAGCGATTTTCGAAAATTCATCACCTAATGGGGTGAAACTGGGGGTGAAATTATGTATGATTTTTTTTTTGAAAAATTAGTCCTAGGAGTATGAAATCTTGTACTGACGAAAGTTAGTACTTAGAAACGAGTTTTTTGGAATTTCATATCCTAAGAGGGTGAAATAAAGGGTGAAAGTTGGTACAAAAAATTGTTAAAATCCGTATTAAATTTTGCATAAACGTTCCTTAGATAACGTAACTGAGCACTAAAAAGAATTTTTTGGATATTCGCCCTCTAAGGCGGTGAATGCTCTGAAAAAAAGGTGTCCTAGCAGTATGAAATCTTGCACAGAGATGTGGCGTAACTTAACTGTTAGGAGCGATTTTCGAAAATCCATTACCTAAAGGGGTGAAACTGGGGGTGAAATTATGTATGATTTTTTTTGAAAAATTAGTCCTAGGAGTATGAAATCTTGTACTGACGAAAGTGAGTACTTAGAAACAAGTTTTTAACGTATCTGAGCATTAAAAATCCCGTATTATTCGCCCTTTAAAGAGGTGAATGCTCTCAAAAAAATCTGTCCTAGCAGTATGAAATTTTGCACAGAGGTCTCTTATGTGGCGTAATTGAACAGTTAGAAGCGATTTTTGAAAATGCTTCGCCTAAGAGGGTGAAACTGGAAGTAAAATTATGTATATTTTTGAAAAATTCCTAAGAGTATGAAATTTTGTAGTGACGACAGTGAGTACTTAGAAACGAGTTTTTAACGTATCTGAGCATTAAAAATCCCGTATTATTCGCCCTTTAAGGAGGTGAATGCTCTCAAAAAAATCTGTCCTAGCAGTATGAAATTTTGCACAGAGATCTCTTATGTGGCGTAATTGAACAGTTAGAAGGGATTTTTGAAAATGCTTCACCTAAGAGGGTGAAACTGGAAGTGAAATTATGTATATTTTTGAAAAATTCCTAAGAGTATGAAATTTTGTAGTGACGACAGTGAGTACTTAGAAACGAGTTTTTTGGAAATTCATCTCCTAAGAGGGTGAAATAAAGGGTGAAAGTTGGTACAAAAATTGGTTAAAATCCTTATTAAATTTTGCATAAACGTTCCTTAGGTAACGTAACTGAGCACTAAAAAGCAATTTTTGGGAATTCGCCCTCTAAGGAGGTGAATGAAAAAATCTGTCCTAGCAGTATGAAATTTTGCACAGAGGTCTCTTATGTGGCGTAATTAAATAGTTAGAAGAAATTTTCGAAAATTCATCCCCTAAGAGGGTGAAACTGGGGGTGAAATTTTGTATGATTTTTTTGAAAAATTAGTCCTAGGAGTGTATGAAATTTTGTAGTGACGAAAGTGAGTACTTAGAAACTAGTTTTTTGGAAATGCATCTCCTAAGAGGGTGAACTAGGGGATAAAAGTTGGTACAGAAATTTGTTAAAATCCATATTAAATTTTGCATAAACGTTCCTTAGATAACGTAACTGAGCACTAAAAATAATTTTTTGGATATTCGCCCTCTAAGGAGGTGAATGCTCTGAAAAAAATGTGTCCTAGCAGTATGAAATCTTGCACAGAGGTCTCTTATGTGGCGTAACTTAACAGTTAGGAGCGATTTTCGAAAATTCATCACCTAAAGGGGTGAAACTGGGGGTGAAATTATGTATGATTTTTTTTTGAAAAATTAGTCCTAGGAGTATGAAATCTTGTACTGACGAAAGTTAGTACTTAGAAACGAGTTTTTTGGAATTTCATACCCTAAGAGGGTGAAATAAGGGGTGAAAGTTGGTACAAAAATTTGTTAAAATCTGTATTAAATTTTGCATAAACGTTCCTTATAACTGAGCACTAAAAAGCAATTTTTGGGAATGCCCTCTAAGGAGGTGAATGCTCTGAAAAATAATATGTCCTAGGAGTATGAAAATCTTTCCTTAAACCTCAGAAGCACAAAATTTGCAGAAAGATTTATTTAAATGGCTTACTATGGGGGGTTAATCACCGCGACCTTACCTTAGATCTATTGTGTATTACATATCACAAATAATTTTTTTTTAAATTATCCCGTTGGCGGGGTAGGGAGTGAAAAATTATACAAAAATTCATTACATCTGAGTCTAAAAACGTAAAATAATAAATTAAAAAAAATACTTTACTGAGCGATACAAACTTTTATTCATTTCGGGGGTCAAATGAGAAATGACTATTTTTTAAACATTTGTTTTTAAGTTTACTGTAAGATGACATGAAATTCAGAATGCCTGTTTTTTTGTTAGTAAATATTTTCTATAAAAAAGTAAAAAGTTTTTGTCTACAAACTGTCAACAGATTAATACAACTTCAACTTTACCTGGATTTGTTGTAATCCCTGCGTACCATGGGTAGCCGCTACTTGAATCTGTCCACCCGACGGCACAGTGTGAACCATTATTTGTTGCCCGTTGGCTCCCTGAATCACCTGACCAGTGTTCATTTGCATCACCTGCACTTGTTGCGGACTCACACCCATGACCACTTGACCATCAGCAGTGGTCGCTATCTGTTCCATCGCTACCACTCTCCGCTACTCTCAAACTAAAATTAATATGAAATATCTTTATTATACAAAGTCTGTATCGGCTCAGGGTATATCGGAAATTCCATGTAAATTTTAAGGATGTCTATTATTGGATCCCCTACTGATTTTTGAAAAACCTTTAAAGGGAATTTTTAAAGTACCAGATCATATCTATCAACTTTGAAACTCTTCCTAAATCTTTTTCAAGTTATTATGTTTGCCAGTATTGCCAGTGTTTTACCTTTGTACAAATTACTTAAAAAAGCACTTTACTGGAGGAATTTCAAAGTAGATCAGCTGCTTGATCTAATCCAGTACTTCACAAAGTACCATTGAAAGTTTCTTCGAAAATCAATAAGGGAGCCAATGATCAACAACCTTAAAATTTACATGAGATTTCCTGTATGTCTTGAGCCAATGCATATCCCGATAGGTAATGTACACACTTTAATTGGTTCTTTAAATAGATTTAGGTATAAAAGGAATTATTATACAAATTTGTAAGACCATAAATTGACAGTGACATATTTCAGGTTTATGAAATATATTGGAAATATTCTATAATTATATTAACAAAAATGCTTAAATATAAAAGTAAAATAATAAAAAATACAGGTTATGTTACCACAAATAGTAAAAAAACATTCTGAAGTGAATATTCATCAATCCTACTAATTCAGTTTAGAAAAATATGTATATTTTATCCAGACAAAGAGTTTCTTCCATTAGCCTGTTCCAAGCAAGTAAAGTATTGCTGGAAAGGGCAGTGCTGTAGAACCCTTGTTGTGTTTTTCAAAATAAATACAAAGTAAATTAAATTTAGCTGAAAAATTCGATAATTTCCACAAGTTTGATGTAACAACGGGCGAAAACAACGAAACATCTTTCGCCATGTTCGATTCAACGTCACTATTTTCCACGGCCCACTTTGTAAACGTGTTAAATATGCATCCGAAACACAAAATCAAGAAAGAATGTTTGGAAATGAACAGGTTGCGATATCCCGAGAACTCTTGGTGGTCTTGAACACATCCGATAATTTGTGAACTTACATTGGATATTTTGCGGTGAGACTTTTCCAACGATTGGTCGACAAAATCAGACAAATCGTAGACCAATGGCTAAGACGCGCTCTGATGAACGATTGGTCGAATATGGCCGCCGCTACCACTCCCTGCGAAGCACGCTTCGGTCGATGATCCGTCGACTTATCGACGCGCGGCTAGCTACGTAGCGCGGGAAATGCGAGCCAATTACAAATTTACCGTGGACGCTCGGCTGCCAATCGCTTTGAAATGGGCTTAAACATGGCCCAGTCGAAGGTGGCTGGGCCTAAGGCCAGGGAAAAAATGAATTTCTTATCGTGGAGGCCAGGCTTTAATTGTTATTTACCAAAATTACGTTATTTTATTCGATAAATACACATTCACGATTTTTACTCATGGGTTTTAGAAAAATATTGCATATTGAGCTAATTTTCGAAGAGTTTAATACACTTTTTATGGAAACTTATTATTTATTAGTGTCTGCAACATATTAAGTTTACTTTAAATCGTTTATTTCTTTGTTTAAGCTTAATTTAAAACATATTTTTTAATTTCTGAGAAAAATTTGAATAATTGTCAGTGCTGCCATCTAACATCCCTCAATCATACTGTTATGAACGCTCCAATCCCTATTATAAAAAAAATATTAGAAAAATATTTGTATTACAAAATATTAAATTAATTTATAATATGTTATTCACACTTCCAGTTAAAATTATTATTAAAAATAAGAAATATAATATCAAAATATGAATAAAAAACATCTAAAATGATTTACAGATTTCTTATTTAACGCTTCTTACGAAAGTTTCCGGTAGATGGCACACTACAATGTATTCTTTGACGTTAGAATACACGTACGTGTTAGAATTAATTTTTAATTAAAATTTTAATTAGGATCCAGTGTATTCTGACCAGGTCGATTTTAATAAAAAGTCTCTATTTAATTTAATAAATCCTTAGTAAAAATTGTTAAACTTATATTTGTAATATTGGAAATTGTAAAAATTAATAATAGAAAATTATTGAGACGTATGTCTATTTACTTTGACAGATATGAATGAGGTTATATTTTAATGTTTACAAATTTTACAACAACCAAATTTAGAGAAATCATTATCTAGGTTCATTGTTTCTTTAAAGATTATTAACTTTATTCAAGTTCACATCCACTTGATATGCACTAACCGTTCAGATTGTTCCGAAACCCACAGACTTTTTCAAAATGCCGGATTTTAAGAACATTTTTAAAGAAGCTGCAATCCAAATAGGATCTGGCGGATCAGCTGGTGGGTATTTAAATTTATTTATTGTTTATTAAAGTAGCTTTACTTTGATTAACATATTTCTTTTACTGAAACATTTTAAAAGCTTAAAATTTCTGTTATATAAGCACTGCAAGTCATTAAGAATTCATTTGCATTTATTTTTTTTTGTATTTCTGATGTACAGGGTTTGTGGAAGTATGTATTATGCACCCATTGGATTTGGTCAAAACTAGACTGCAAATTCAGTCTGGGAAAACATTGCCCAGAACCGATCCAAAATATTACAATGGAGTTTTCGACTGTTTAGCTAAAATGTACAAATACGAAGGAATCACATCGTACTGGAAAGGAATTATACCTCCTATTTTGGCAGAAACACCAAAACGTGCAGTAAAAGTGAGAAAAAAAAACAATATAATATATTTATACTAAATTAAAAGTACTTATATTTTAGTTTTTTACATTTGAACAGTACAAGCAGCTATTTTTGTTCGGGTCATCTACACCTACTCCACTGGTATGTATTTACGTTCCTTTTCTAAAAATAAATTTTGGTTTATTTTTATACACTTTTTTTGTTGACTTCAGTGTTAGGCACATTTTAAAATATTTCCAAAGATATATACAGGATGATTCAAATGAGGTGTCAAGTTGCAAAACCCGCCTATCCATTTTTTTTAAATGGCCTAATGACATATATTAATAGTGGGTCCTGAAATCTACTATATATAATTATTGATCAGTTATTGTGTTGAAAGAATAAAAATTATACTACCTTATACAGAGTGTCTAAAATTTTATTTTAAATAATTACTAGCTTTAAACGGCAATTACTTGTTTAATTTAAATGGAACATCCTGTATATTTTATGAGAATCAGATGCACAATTTAATTGTCTATCAAATTGTATTATACCATTTTTTACCTATCTCTTCAAGTTTCCGTAGAAAATGCATTTTCTTGTAATTTAAAACTCATTTATCAATATACCCATGGAATACTGACATTTTAGATTATTTTTAAAGATGTACCAAATTTTTAAAGAGTACAGATACCAATATTGTCGATATAGTTTGTTTAATTCATTAAAAAATAAAAAAAAAACTGTTTAAATATTTGTTAAAGAGGACCAGTAGATATGATTCCAGTATTCAAACTACATATATGAATTGACTGTTTGCGTTGATTAATAATAATTGCTCCAAACACTAAAAAACTGAATTTTGTATGTGTATTAGATGGTGTGGTAAAAAGTAACACCTTAAAAATGATATTTCATTTTTTGACAAATGCTTATTTATAACAACAGAGACATTCATTTTCATAACTTATTATTATATTGATTTCTGATTCAAATCCACATTTATTTAGTATAATTTATTAACGAAGTAATAAGTATGAAATTAATTAGTATTTGGGCGGAAATAATGGTGGTATATTTAATTAATGGTATATATATATATATATATATATATATATATATATATATATATAATAAATAATTTTTATAAAGATTTAAATAGTTTTCTTTTTGCATACAAATGGCCTAGTAATATTATCATTTTGCTAAAAACGATAATATTACTAGCCTGTACATTTTGTACATTTGTTGCTTTGAAAACAATCTAAAATGTAAATATTCCTTGGGTATATTGATAAATGAGTTCTAAATTATAAAAAAATGCATTTTCTACGAAAACTTGAAAGGATAGGTAAAAAGTGGTATAATACAATTTGATAGACAATTAAATTGTGCATCTGATTCTTCTAAAATATACAGGGCGTTCCATTTAAATTAAACAAGTTATTGCCGTTTAAAGCTAGTAATAATTTAAAATACATTTTTAGACACTCTGTATGAGGTAGTATTATTTTTATTATTGCAACACAGTAACTGATTACAATAAATAGCCTTCAGTAAATATTTAGTATTAAAAACTTTGATACCCTTGTAGAAATGAAGCCTTAAAATTTTTACTGCAATTTCACAAAATTGAAAATATTTCATAAACGGTAAGGTTTAAGTGTAATAAACCTCAATCAAATTTATCTTTGTTTTAACCGTAGAAACTAAAAATGTAATAATATACAGTGTGTTTTATTTAAAAAAATACAACTTTGATATTTTTTATTTATTTGGGACACTGTGTATCTTGTAAAAATATTTTTAAATTGTACCTCTAATAGTCCTTCAACGAACCCAAAACTTACAATTTGTAAAAATCTAATCATTTAGCTACAGTACTCCGTGTCGTATGTGGTGAACAACCCTGTATAATTTTCCAAAAATATCATATTAATATTTCTTGGTATATACCGGGTGAGTCAAACTGGACGTTGAATTTTCTCCATTAATTCAATGGAGAAACATTTATTAATTTGTTATTGACGTTTTTATCATATTTTAGACTTTTTCATTGGCTGGTCTTGGTGCTGGGTTGACAGAAGCTGTTTTGGTCAATCCATTTGAGGTGGTTAAGGTCTCTATGCAAGCCAATAGGGCTGTTGGCAAAGAATTACCTAGTACATGGTAAGTCTTATCATTAGGTGATATAGTTGAGGTCAAATTGAATGTTTTACCCTTTTGTGCTATATAGTTTAGCGCAAAATTGTTTTGATATTGGAAGCATTTTAAAAGATGTTGATGAATATGATTTTTTGTTATTATTTATTAATTTGTATACTACTAGTAGTAGAAGTTTTGTTTAAATAATACATTAAGTGAAATTAATGTCAGTAAACTTAGGTACAGCGACAACATAGATACAGGACACAATATGGACAAAAAGGTTATTTTATTCCTTTAAAAGTATATATTAATTTGCTTCTATATTCATTATAGTCACCGTATTTAAACAAACCAGAAATAAACTATAATGTCCAAATTCAAATACGCTGTTTATACAGGGTGGCGCCTCCCATACGCCGCGGAAGCTCCAAGGAGAACGGTAGTGTAGCTTATAACAAAATGAAATTTTGGCAGCATATATAAGTTAACTGAAAGCATTTTATAAAAATATATAGAATTATACAGGGTGTCCCCAAAAAAAGTTACACATCAAAGTTGTGTTTTTTCTAATTTTGTGAAAATGAAGAGTAAATTTTAAATTTCGATAACAGCTTCCTAAATTTTAGTTGACCTTGTATAGCTTGACATTTAACTTCAGTAATCATTGTATGTTAAACCAAATTGAAATTTGACCCGAAAAGTTATACAGGGTGAAAGAAAATTAATGTGGAACATTAGTCACGCATTTGAAAGCAAGTTACTCCTTTATTTTAAATGGAACACGCAGTATATTATTCCAGTGTTCAATGGGGAATTTATATATCTTCAAAATATTATTAAGGTTGCCTATCCCTCAGACAAAGATTTTCCTAGATATTTTCATTTTTATGATTTTTCATCAGTAGATCTTTATTATCTGAAAAAATCTAGGGTGGCTGTGATGTACCTTTTGTTAATTTAACAAAAATTAAAGATTGTAGAGTAACGGTAATAAAAATATACACGTTTAATATACATATCTTACATACATATCTTAATTATTACACAATTAAAACTAGATATAAACCTATAATTATGTGATAAAAATTAGCTAGATGAAATCAAATGTTGAAAATGCTTCCTTTCCTGTTAACTGCATAAAATCATTTAACATATCCCCATAAAAAAACAGACTAGATAAAATCAGGAGCATTTAAAGATTCTATTAATTGGTGAATGCACACTGCATTCACCAACAATAGAATCATGTCTTTTCTCTCTGATGTAGGGTAACTTTGCATTTTCGGCAAATTTCTGAGAATTTTTTTGTTTCAACTGACACAAAATGATAACTAGTTGCTAAAGTTGGACTAATTAGACAGCTATGTTGAAGTAACGTCAGACATATCACAGCCACCTAGATTTTATCAAATAATAAAGGTCTACCCAGATCAAATCATGTAAATGAAAATATCTAAGAAAATCTTTGTTTGAGGGGTAGGCAACCTTAATAGTATTTTGAAGAGACATGAATTCTCTATTGAGTATCGGAATAATATACTGGGTGTTCTATTTAAAATAAAAGAGAAACATGCTTTTAAAGGTGACCAATGTTCAATATTAATTTTGTCTCACCCTGTATAACTTTTTTGATCAAGTTTTAATTTGATTTAAAGTACAATAGATAATTTAACTATATATTAGGCTATACCGGGTAAATTCCAATTTAGGTAGCTTTTATTGTAATTTAAAAATTGTTCTTTATTTATAGAAAATGTTGAATAAAAACCTTACAGTTTAGTTTGGTTTGGTTTGGTTTATATACAGGGTTGTTCACCACATACGACACGGAGTATTGTAGCTAAACGATGAGATTTTTACAAATTATAAGTTTGGGGTTCGTTGAAGGACTATTAGAGCTACAATTTAAAAATATTTTTACAAGATACAGAGTGTCCCAAATAAATAAAAAATATCAAAGTTGTATTTTTTTAAATGGAACACCCTGTATATTATTACATTTTTAGTTTCTACGATTAAACTAAAGGTAAATTTGATTAAGGGTTATTATACTTAAACCTTACCGTTTTTGAAATATTTTCAATTTTGTGAAATTGCAGTAAAAATTTTAAAGCTTCATTTCTCCAAGGGTATCAATGTTTTTAATACTAAATATTTAATGAAGTTTATTTATTGATCAGTTATTGTGTTGCAATAATAAAAATAATACTACCTTATACAGAGTGTCTAAAAATTTATTTTAAATAATTATTAGCTTCAAACGGCAATAACTTCTTTAATTTAAATGGAATGCCCTGTATATTTTAGGAGAATCAGATGCACAATTAAATTGTCTATCAAATTGTATTATACCATGTTTTACCTATCCCTTCAAGTTTTCGTAGAAAATGCATTTTCTTATAATTTAGACCTCATTTATCAATATATCCATGGAATATTGACATTTTAGATTGTTTTAAAGCAACAAATGTACAAAATGTACAGACTAGTAATATTATCGTTTTTAGCAAAACGATAATATTACTAACCCATTTGTATGCAAAAAGAAAACTATTTAAATATTTATAAAAAGTATACCATTAATTAAATATAACACCATTATTTCCGCCCATATACTAATTAATTACATACTTAATTGTGTTCGTTAATAAATTATTATAAATAAATGTGGATTTGAGTCAGAAATCAATATAATAATAAGTTATCAAATTAAAGTCTCTGTTGTTATAAATAAGCATTTATTAAAAAATGAAATATCATTTTTAAGGTGTTACTTTTTATCACACTGTCTAATGCCCATACAAAATTCAGTTTTTTAGTATTTGGAGCAATTATTATTAATCAACGCAAACAATCAGTTAATGTAGTTTGAATACTGGAATCATATTAATTGGTCCTCTTTAACAAATATTTAAATAGTTTTTTTTTTATTTTTTAATGAAATAAACGAATTATATCGACAATATTAGTATCTGTACTCTTTAAAAATTTGGTACATCTTTAAAAATAATCTAAAATGTCAATAGTTCATGGGTATATTGATAAATGAGTTCTAAATTAAAAGAAAATGTATTTTCTACGGAAACTTAAAGAGATAGGTAAAAATGGTACAATATTAATTAAATTGTGCATCTGATTCTCGTAAAATATACAGGGTGTTCCATTTAAATTAAAGGAGTTATTGCCGTTTGAAGCTAATAATTATTTAAAATAAATTTTTAGACACTCTGTATAAGGTAGTATTATTTTTATTATTGCAACACAATAACTGATCAGTAAATATTTAGTATTAAAAACTTTGATACCTTTGGAGAAATGAAGCCTTAAAATTTTTACTGCAATTTCACAAAATTGAAAATATTTCAAAAACGGTAAGGTTTAAGTATAATAAATCTTAATCAAATTTACCTTTATTTTAATCGTAGAAACTAAAAATGTAATAATATACAGGGTGTTCCATTTAAAAAAATACAACTTTGATATTTTTTACTTATTTGGGACAATCTGTATCTTGTAAAATTATTTTTAAATTGTACCTCTAATAGTCCTTCATCGAACCCAAAACTTACAATTTGTAAAAATCTCATCGTTTAGCTACAATACTCCGTGTCGTATGTGGTGAACATCCCTGTATAGTTTAGTCATATACTTCTCTTATAAAACTCACCTTTATTTTTCTCACTGAATCCGAAAATCAATTAATATATAGGGTGTTCCATTACAAAAAACACAACTTTGATATGTAACTTTTTTGGGACACCCTGTAGAACTCTCTATATTTTTAAAAAGTGCTCTGAATTAACCTATATATGCGTATGAGAGGCTCCACCCTGTACAGGGGAACTACAAAAATGTTTTTTTTTTCAAGAGTAAAGTTCTCTGAATTTCCAAAACATAAAAAAAGATATTTGGTATAAAAAGTAGATTAGATTAGAATAGAGTTTTTCCAAACACACTTGTATAAATTTGGCAAAAAGGACCAGACAGGAAGATTTCGACAGATGGCATCTAAAAATTGACCGAAAAAAAACCAAATTATTTTGAAATAAAGTGACAGACAAATGTCACTCTCATATATTCTCTTGTAAGAGAATTCTATGTACAGAAATATCTGATGTACTAAAAATAACTTTTTTTCATTTAGTCCAATTACGTTGACACAATTAGTTGATACAGTAGAATAATACAGGGTGTATGAGATAATTGTTTTTGAAAGAATGTTGTTAATATGTCGTAACAATCTAATAAGACAGATGTTTCGATCCAGGGTTGTTACTAAACAAATCGTGGCAAAACATGGTTTCGGCTCTAGAGGTTTAAATAAAGGCGTTACAGCGACAATGGGCCGCAACGGAGTGTTTAACATGATATATTTTGGGTTCTATCATTCCGTTAAAGGATTTTTACCCAAAACTGAGGTACAATATCCTAAATTCACTATGGGAGTGATGTCTATTAACAAAAATCATTCGCTTTTTACTAATATATGGTTTGCAAGAACTAATATCTCTGTGAAGCTATAATAATAAATGGCATGTACTTCATAGTGTCTAGAAATAAACAAAAATTTGTTGAAAAATGTGGTAATGGTGTGGTGTTGTCTATTAACTTGTCAGAATTCATTTGTTTTTACTTTTGAACAGTGTTCCCAACTCTCAAAAATCTATCTCCCTAGAAATCTAAAATGCTCACTTCAAATCTCCCCAAAATACCCATAAAAAACTAAAAAATACCCTGAAAAACCCTATAAATGTTTACAATGCCAAAGAATAAAAAAATAAAAATATTATTGAAATATATTTAGTAAGTTTACAGTAAATGTAGTAAAAGCAAATACACTAGACCAGTGTTTACAAGATCAAATGTGATTATCAAAATATAAGTCATTTACGGCGTAGAAAGCCTTGGCTAGTAAATAAGATTTCAATGCTTTGCGAAATGAAGAAAATGATATTATGGATTTGATTTCAAATGGCAGGCGATTGTGCATTCTTTTCGAGTTGTATAATATTGAACTTTTAACTAACTCTGAGCGTGGGGTAGGTGGATAAAGATCTTGCTCTGCGTTCCTGAGTGGATAAGTGTGAGATGGCCTTTCTTGAGAAGCTGATACATGCTTACGTATTAGGCAAACGGATTCAAATATAAATAAGGAAGGAAGAGTTAATATTTTTAATTTTTTAAAAAAGTCGTGGCAATGAAAATACGGCCAAATTGAGTTGAGTCGCACAACACGTACCCCAGAATGGAAGGGCATACCTGAGGTGCGACTCAAAAAGTCCATAATAAACAGTTCTAGCCACTGACAAGTTAAGCTCCTTAGAAACTGATCTTAATGCAAAACAGGCAGAGCTCAATTTTTTCGAAAAAACGTTGATATGCATGTCCCATTTTAGAGAATTGTCTCCAACAAGCCCTAAGAATTTTTCAGATTTTACGACGTCAATGGTGGTGTTGTTAAGGACTGCGAATTTTTATACGACAAAGCTTTAGTTTTAGAAATGTTGAGACTCGGGAGGTTCGAATCGCACCAAAATTTAATGGTGATTAAGTCATTTGATATAATCCTATGAAGTGCCGTGACGACCTTGTTGCTTCAAGTGAAGCTAGTGTCGTCCGCAAAAAGACATATTTTACCACTGATGTTTATATTAGCAATGTCGTTAATAAAAAAGAAGAAACAAAATAGGGCCTAGTACTGATCCTTGTGGTACTCCACATTCTATTGGCTTACTAGAAGACCACGTGGTATCCACCCTCACAAGTTGACTTCTGTTGCTCAGATATGACTTAAACCATTCGAGAGATACTCCCCTGAACCTATAGTGCTGCAGTTTATTAATTAGGATCTTATGATTTATACAGTCGAACGCCTTAGAAAAATCACAGAAAATTGTTGCTGTAGAATGAAGGTTATTTGGCTGGAGTAAACTTTATTAAGGAGGGAAAACATAGCGTTATTTGTGGACTTGTTGCTTAGAAATCCAAATGGATGTTCACTAAGTATTTTGTACTTAAACAGAAAAAATACCAGCCTTCTTTTAACCAACCTTTCTATGATCTTAGATAGCGTTGGAAGGAGTGCAATTGGGCGATAGTTAGAAGCTTGATCTTTGTCTCCTCCTTTATGCAGAGGAATGATTATTGCCGTCTTAAGACATTTTGGAATGACATGTTTATTAAAGTAGTTAGGTGATTCAGAGTGCTTTCTGGCAGATTCGAAAACATTTGTAAAGTTTTTTATAATGGTGTATTCCCAGTCCTTTTGTATGGTATGGAAGCTTGGACCGTCAACGAGCTTTGCGAGCGGAAACTGGAGGCCTTCGAGATGTGGACATACCGTAGGATCTTGAGAATCCCATGGACAGAACATGTAACCAACGTCGAGGTTCTGAGAAGAATGAGGAAAAATTGTAGGAAAAAGATCTGTTGGAAGGAGAAGAATATCCTGGCTCAGAAACCTGCGAAAATGGTTTAATGTCACGTCATCTGACCTATTTAGGGCCGCAGCTTCCAAGGTCAAAATAGCAATGATGATAGCCAACCTCCGATATGGAGACGGTACATAAAGAAGAAGAAGATAATGGTGTGCTTTAAGTTGTTGAAGTCGAAACGTCTATTTGCTGCATTTGATAGAATGTAGAATATATCTTCATTCTTTCCTAAATTTAATAAAAGTGACAAAGAAGACCGATTCCCGTTTTTTTGTCTTTTGCTCCTCTCTGCGCATATCGATGGCGGTAACAATAAAATTTTGAAAATCGAGTGCAAATGATTTTGTTATTATTTATACTTTCTTATTAATTTTGATAAATAGCGGTAGAGATAAAAAAAAATGCTACTGAAATTTTATCCCTAAAAATACTCCCAAAAAATTTTACTCCCTAAAAACCCTGTACAGATTTTTTCTTCCTAAATTTAGGGGGAAAACCCTGAGTTGGTAACACTGCCTTTGAATAAAAGGATTCAGGAAGGAGCTTATTTCCATACTTAGGTGGAACGCAATGGGGGTTTAATATGGCATGCTCTAAGTTTGGAATAAATGTTTGCTGCACTAGTCTGGGTTCATTTTCAGGTTTTTCACGAAATTTTAAAACCCTTTTAAACATTTACGTCGTTTTACTATTCTTTTTCATTAACTAATCTAAAAAATTACTTCATAAATTTGAACCCTTGTTATTGTTCTTTATTTTCCTTCGCGCAGAGTGAGTTTCCTACGATGTTCTCTATGGGTATCTCGGAAACTACGGAAGATAGAGTCGGTTAAATGGGGGAAAGAATTGCAATTTTGTGGGGTTATAAATATACGCCTTTCAGATTTTTGAAAAAGTTCTTGGCAACTATACTTCTATGCTAGATATTTCGAAAAAAACAAATTTTGGCTATTTTAAAAATTGTCCCTAATTCCATTATAAGCTATTTTAGACAAAAAGTTTTCAGATAAAAGTTGTAGATAATCACACCCTTAATGAGATTGTGTCCTCCGTTTTTTTCTAAAGCCTGTCATTTTTGACATATGACACAAACATATGTTTTTTTTTAAATGGAAACCATAATTGGCCATAGCCTCATTAAAAGCGCCATTTTTTAAGCTTTTCATCGATATAAGCTATAATATGTTTTCTTCGAAAAATTACCGAGTTATAGCCAATTCTTAAGATTTTTAAACAATTTCACTTAGTTAGCCATGGAAACAAGTTTTAATCGTCTTTGCTCTCAGAAATGTGAAGCTGTCACATCCAAACTTTGTAAATTAAAATAAATAAAAATTGTAATTTTTCAAATGAAGAAAAGTGTGTAGGATTATTGGTTCAACTTTTCTTGGCCATACATTTTCGACGATACGTTGACCGGTGAATGTTACCTTTTTTAGAGAACGGTTTTCAAAACATGTAAAATTTAGTTATAACCAATTCTTATATTTCTTGATTAATTTCACTTAGTTGGTATGGTATTCTTATTTTGTTATGATTTATAACTTATAAAAAGTCAGAATATATTATTAAACGGTTCTTTACAATTTACATTACACAAGTAAGTGAAATTGTTTAAAAATGATAAGAATTGGCTATAACTCAGTAATTTTTCGAAAAAAATCATATTATAGCTTATATCGTTAAAAAGCTTAAAAAAATGGCGCTTTTTATGAAGTCATGGCCAACTGTGGTTTCCATTTAAAAAAAAACATGTTTGTATCATATGTCAAAAATGACAGGTTTTAGAAAAAAACGGAAGACACAATCTCATTAAGGATGTGATCTGTGGATGTGATTATCTAAATCTTTTATCTGAAAACTTTTTGTCTAAAATAGATTATAATGGAATTAGGGACAATTTTTAAAATAGCCGAAATCTCTTCTTTCAAAATATCTAGTAAGCCATGAACTTTTTCAAAAATCATATTTATGACCCCACAAAACTGCAATTCTTTTCCCATTTAACCGACTCTCTATCTCCAGTAGTTTTCGAGATACCCGTAGAGAACATCGTAGGAAACTCACCCTGTATGTGTGTGGTTAGAATTAGAAATTGAATAATTGGTGGTTTATTTTTACTTATTTTCGAATTAATCAGTTCAAAATTGCTGCATTTATGGAGAAAGGCTTAATCATAAGATCGTTGCTTTAAAAATTAGCATGCTTGTGATGTCTATCATTGTTGCCAACTCTTCGCTAATCGTCCTATTAAATCAGAGCAAAAAACGAGGCTTCCGGGAAAGTAGGACTCCTACTGAGTTGGCAACCCTGATGTCTATATCGGTGTTTTATTTTATATAAATATTTTAAATAGAATTGAATTTATTTGATATGGTTAGGGGGGCAAATTTTTCAGATAAATAATATTTCAATTGATTATAGGATCACCTGAAAGAATTTGGTTCTAAAGTAGGAATAGGATTTGTCTCTGGAACGCTAGCTTCCTGCGTTAATATTCCTTTCGACGTTGCCAAGTCTAGAATCCAGGGACCTCAACCAGTTCCTGGTCAGATTAAATACAAAGGAACAATTAACAGTATGATTATTGTGTACAAAGAAGAAGGGTAAGTTTTTTAATAATACTAATATTTCTTATACAATATCCGCCAAAAACTTTACCAGTTCTAATCAGTTGACTGTGCTATGTATTGTCAGCTAATCTTATTTTTAAACGGTTTTATTTAGCTCGACCCGTAGGGTATTTATTTATTTGTTTGTTTATTTGGGTCAAAATTAGAAATTGAAATTTAAGTACCTTCCTGTTGTCAGATTGATCTGAAATTTGGTACACACCTTTAGTTCCGATGACAATACAATATAGTAATATCAATAACATTGTAAATCTAAGATGGCCGCCGGTACAAAATGGCGGATTTCATATTTTTCCACAACCCCTCAATATGGGTATCAAATGAAAGGGCTACACTAGTAGAATACTGTGATTATGACAAAATTTAAAATCCAAGATGGACGTCGTTACAAAATGGCGTATTAGGTGAGGGCATGAGTAGTCGTGTCCAGAACAGTTGTGTCCAAGATTGTGTGACGTTAGAAGGACAGATAAAAAAAAATAGGTGATTAGATGTACCTGCGTAGTTAGTGGTAGCTTTACCACCCAAGTTAAGATAATAGGTTAAAACGTGCTGAGGACTGTATGGCATTAGGGTGGCTAAAAATGTAATGTCGCAAGCGTTTTCCCCTCAAGATTGGGCGCCTCTTGTTGTATATTATAGCCTTGCCCCTCTACTGAACCTCTGGGGGGGGGGGTCGACCGTTAAAATGTCCATTACTCGTGGGAACAAAATGGAAACAATAAATAAAAAAACAAACAAAAATAAAAACGAAACTGCTACACAACGAAAAAGAAGGCTCGAAAAAGCGAAAGAAAAGTATAGAACGAAACGTGCAAAAGAAAGTGAAAATGAAACCTATAGTCGACTACAGAAACGAAGAGAACGGTTAGCAACAGAAACACCTGAGCAACATGATGCCAGGTTAATAGCACAACGTGACGTTGGCTTACCATCAGTAGTTGAAATATTTGTAGGAGCAAAAGTAATGTTGCGGTCCAATATTGACGTTACAAAAGGATTGGTAAATGGTGCTATAGGCCACATTACAGAAATTGTTTGGCCTCAGTTCCGTCGAACCCAAATGTACGAAACAGATGTACCATCAGTTTGGATTGACTTTGGCAGAGACGGCATACACGTTATACACCCGAAAGCCATACAGTTTCCAGCAAAATTCAATTATGGTACGGCTGAAAGAAGGATGTTACCCTTAATTTTGTCATGGGCATCCACCGTCCATAAAATGCAGGGCAGCACAGTCGACCATGCAGTAGTGTATTTGGGCTCAAAATTGTTTGAGGAAGGGCAAGCACATACGTGGCTCTAAGTCGAGTCAAGTCTCTGGAAGGGCTATGTATTGAGGAATTAGATTGTAATAAATTATCAGGTAAAAAACCATGTAATAATGATGCACTAAATGAATTAAATAGAATGAGGAATATTCGGTAGGCATTTCCGTTAAATACTAAAAACTAGAAAATAAAAAATCGGTAAAAAAACTTTTAAGTTTTTTTTTTAAGTAAACGGTTTTATCTTATGTGCACTGAAAACTAGAAAATAATAATAACAATTAGGTATTTTGAACTTCTAGTTCAGAAATATTTTAGTACTAGGCAGAATAGCTTTTAGGCATATTAGACTAAAATAAAAACGTGGGGCCCATTAACTATTGCTGTAATACTTTCTTCTATACTAAGTGTGGATTGCATCGACTTACTATAATCGTAACTGGAGATTATGACAATCAATAACCAGCCGTGGCGGCTTCACCAGTGAACGCCGAGCTCATGATCTACCAAAGTATAAAGATATGCTTTGCCATAGGTAGGATTTCAGAGGGGCCCCACGTTTTTATTTTAGTCTAACATGCCTAAAAGCTATTCTGCCTAGTACTAAAATATTTCTGAACTAGAAGTTCAAAATACCTAATTGTTATTATTATTTTCTAGTTTTCAGTGCACATAAGATAAACCTGTTTAACTTAAAAGTTTTTTACCGATTTTTTATTTACATGTTGAAAGTATATTTTTTTAATTTGTCGTCATGGCCAACCAATCAAACCAATAATTAGCTCCCCAACGCTTCTTTCCAAGTGGATCCTCTAATTTGATTGGCCTAAATATTATTTCTTCTATAGACATTTTTTTTTGACATGTGTCATTTGTTTTGTTTCAGATTTATGGCTCTTTACAAAGGATTAGTACCAAAAGTAATGAGGTTAGGTCCAGGCGGTGCTATCATGCTTGTTGTCTATGATTACATGCATTCTTATCTGTCAAACACTTTTAAATAATACCTACCTTTTAAGTGTTCTTATGCAATTCGAAATTTATCTTTTTTGGACTGATTTGTGTTGATATTCTCCTTTTAAGTACAAAGCCATATATGTTTACATTTTGATAGTATTTTAGGTAAATAATAATTTTTAAGTATTTTCAGTGCAGATGAATATCTAAATTTTTTTAGGAGAATTATTTTATTATATCGTAATAAGATATAGTGATTTTGCACATATTTTATGTCTTATACAATTTTTAGCACATTTTTTATGAAGTATTTATATCAATTTTATATGGATAAAGGGGGAGTTTATATGGATAAATGTATTTTTACATTTCTTATCTTAGGACTAAAAATTGGAAAAAGTAATGTTGATTAAGGTTTGATAAATGTGTAACAGTGATGGGATTAAATAATTTGATTGTTGAAAATAATTGTTTTTTTAAATTTTTTAGTATGTTTGATCTTATTAGGATCTTGTACTTCAAGAGTTCTTTATAAAACCATGGGAAAATAACTTTTGTGTTGATCAGTTCTCTAAGATCTCAAAATGTGGGGATTTTAAATTTGACATGATATAGAGTATCACAGAAGCCTGTATTGGAATGGGTTGTTTGTTTTATAGTTTTAAGTAAGTATACCAACATTTTCAGCCATCTCTAAACAATGAAGAATTAAATAATTAAGCAAAAAAAACACTGCTAATAGGTATATTTTTATTTGAAATGCATAATGACTAAAAATGGAAAGTGTATAGTAATGAATAATGTGAGGTGTATGGCAGTGATTTTTGAACAAATATGTTCATTAATACTGTGTTTTTTTTTATTTCTTAACATCTTCGATATTTTACAGCTTCATTTGTTGCTTTTCTATGTGCTTGTGGAGTTCCTGCAGTTCAAATTTTAAAGTCTCAAAAATCGTTGTCAAGCTAAAAAATATAGAACTTTTATTATACCGTGCTGGCAACTGTTACTTTTGGGTCGGCATTTACATGTGTGGAAGTAAATCGCATAGGGATCTTATTAAGTCGGAGTGAGAGAAATGCGACCGATCGACGCGGCGCGCGACGGTGTGCTGTTGCGGCGTTGCCGATACGCCTTTCCCTATCAAGTAAAGTAAAATCACGATCGCAAATCGCTTATTTTTAAAAGACTATTTTTTCAATTCGATAAGGTTGTTGAAAAGTCCCTGGAACTTAATAAGCCAGCGTATATGTATTTTGTAGATATGACAAAAGCTTTCGATAGAGTACGCCTGACAGATATATTGCAGATTCTAGAAACAAAAGGACTAAACCCGAGACTAATCAACTTAATATATGACATCAACACCAACTGCAAAACAGCAATAAAAGTTCAACATCTGTTTACTAACGAGATACTCATCCAAACAGGAATAAGACAAGGTGACTCCCTCAGCCCATTTATATTTAACTTAATCATGGATCAAATAATAGAAAATCTACCAAAAACGGCAGGTTACAAAATGGGAAACACCTTCTTCCACGTTGTATGCTACGCTGATGATGCAGTACTCATTGCAGATACAGAGGACAATCTTCAGAGACTACTACATGCGTTTAATCTAAAGGCCAAACAATTAAACATGATAATCAACACCGAAAAAACAAAATGCCTGGTAACATCCAAGGAGGCGGTAAGGTGCAAACTGGAAGTGGACTCAAAACTGATCGAACAAGTGAATCACTTTCAGTATCTAGGGGTTGGAATATCAAGTTATGGCAACCTGCAGAAAGAAGTTAGAGAACACACTATGAAGGCGTCTCGCATTTCGGGCTGTTTAAATGACATCGTCTGGAGGAACAAGTATCTCAACACAGAGAGCAAGATTAGAATATATAAAGCCGCGATAAGACCAGTCATCACGTACGCAGCCGAAACAAGACCAGACACGGCCAAAACAATGCAAATGATGAGAACAACAGAAATGAAGGTGCTGAGAAGCATACACGGAAAAACACTACATGATAGAGCGAGAAACGAAGATATTAGAGAGTGGAGCAAAATCCAGGATATAGGAAGATGGGTTAGACAAAGGAGAAGGCACTGGAACAACACGTAAGAAGAATGGACGACAACAGACTAGCAAAAAAAGCGCAACAAAACAACCCAATTGGAAAAAGGTCGCAAGGAAGGCCGCCAAAACGGTGGAGAGAATGCTGGACGTCGTCCTCCGGGGAAGACTTGTTAGGATTGAACAGGCGATAGCCTACCTATATGGGCAACCATAATAGAAAGAAAGAAGAAGAAGAAGAAGAAGATAAGGTTGTTTTTTACATTCAAAAATTGTAAACAATCCATCCATTTACTTTTAGAGCATAGCAATTTTCAGCAATCGTGTAACTTTTTTATTGATAAAGATTTTCACATACTGTCTACAAAGAAAATACAGCAGAAATATTAAGAAAGTTCTTGAATAAACTACAATCTATTATTTCTAATAGATTTCGAGATATCGATTTTTGAATTCACAGTTCTAATAGCGCGACCACTATCGAACACCCACTCAATTCCACTTATTTTTACCAAAAATGCAAGTGCTTCTAGCTTGCACTTAAAAAAATTCAAACTATAGGAAAAATTACAACGACTCGTTAATAAATAAACAAATTAAGTATCACGAGACGTAATTAAAAAAAGCTGAACGCATGACGTACACCTTTCCCTAGAACTTTAAGTACTGACAGAGGTATTGATTGGGTCGACCGGTCAACTGCGACAAATATGCTATATCCCCTTCCACGTCTCTTAGCGATGTGCACAGTTTCTCGGTTTATTAGATACGTTTGACAACGTGTTTACTGTCCTCTCTTTGTTCAGTACATTATAAACGCATTGCACTCTTCTTACATACGGAAATCTCGACCTAAGACTAACCTTTGCCAGCCCGTAGTATACGTTGTATAGCGCATACTACCTCATGATCGAAAAAAAAACGGCGTCCAAGGCGGCTGGGAATGGCAATCGATAATAATTTTGGCGAGGTCAAGCTCTAGACGTCATTAATTGGCCCGTACTTTTCTATATTTTTTAGTGGCGCTTACTGCCAGTAGAAGGCCATAAGAGGGTTGTAATTTATTTTAATATTGAGGAAAAAACAGATGAAATAGTGTAGTTCGTACGTAGTAAAATTTGAGAAAAAATATTTTTTTGGAGATTCGTGTATCTGGAAAGGTTCTATCCATTTTTAATCTTTCTATAATTAGTGTTAATTTTTGACAAGTTTGATGTCAATTATTAGTAAATGACGTCTAGAGTCAGGGGCGGGAAAGTGAAATAGCAAAAGCGGTTCCACCGTTTCCACGGAAATCTCAAATAAAATAGTTCCAGCCCTAGCCACTAGGTGGTGGTGCAATTAATTTTTACGTTAAGAAATTGCTACTAGTTATTGCCAGATGGCGGTAAATCAGAATTTTTTTGTAGTTTCCATAGTTTCCAACGGCCATTGTCATATTATTGTCAAATTCTCAAAAAATATTGTCGTTGTCATAGCGCCAATCATAATATTATCAAATAAATGATTATCAAAACGTTTTTCAAACTATAATTTGTTATATGTGTTTTAATTAGACAATTCCTTTTGTTTCTGGCCCTAAAAATATAATGTAAGTCTTTTATTTTTGCCATCATTTAAGTACCTATTTATACTTAGTCCATTTACAAAACTTTGGACGTATTACGTCGGTCTTGTTTTATTATAATAAACGATGTTTAAATATTTGATTTATAAATAAGAACTTTAAATAATAAATAATATTTCACATGTTTGGCTTTAATTTTATTTAATAATTGTATATATTATACTGTTAAATCTTATTTTTTACACATCACAACGATACTTGTTATTAGTATTGTTGAATTTGCGTAAAAATAATATTTAATAATCAAATTTAATTATTTTAGAGTAAAATTATTCAGTAAATACGGTCATTTAAAAAGCCCGCTCTTCGATCCATTTAAAACAAGCCCTACTCAATAGATGGCGCCACTTCTGTAGGACCATTTTTCAGTATGGCAGAGTCCATTCTTTTTCTAGCTAGGTATATTCTTTGGTCTAGAGATTGGCCCTGTCAAAATTGTCATCGATTGTCATTCATAAATTATACCCTATTATGGAAAAAACGGCGCTAAGTTGGCTAGAAAATGACGATTATATTCCCTATATAATTTTACATATAAAATGGCAGCGATCTTTATTTCATATAGCCATCGCTGACGCCGTTTTTTTTTCGATCATATTGTATTTTGCTCTCCAAACGTTAGAATTTTAAGTAGAATTCAAAAATCCACAAATACAAGCGTCGAAAGAAAGTACCTTGAAACTTGAAACATTCAAATTTTTGGCCAAACCCTGTATATCATTATCAGATATTTAAATATGAGAATGACCCTGTATATAATTCATGACTTACCCTGTATATAATTCCTATATATTTACTTACTTTTTTTGACTTGAACTAGCTAAATCTTCAGCTGTAGTTATTGTTTCTTTACATTTTGTTTCTGTACCTACTTGTACTCCAACAGACCTTTTATTCTAAAACATATACTAATTATATTAAACATTTATATACTTTCGTAACAAAAAATCTCTACACAGGGTGTTATATTGATTTAGGAACAAGAAAGAGCACTTAAGAAAAGTTCTTATTTTTTTAGAAATATATTTTATTTTTACAATATAGTTATATATGTTTTATATATTTTAATCACTTTCTAGGGTTAAGTACAAAGCAACAATACAAGTTCTAAATATATGTATATACAGGGTCAGTCTTAAATAAGAGCAAATATTTTTAGGGGTAGTATATTTCGACCCCAAAGCACGTCTACAAGTTTTTTTTCGAGAAAAAAAAAATTTGGAAGTTTTTGACAAAAAATATGGAAATTATTTAAATCTTTAGTTAAAAATCATCAAAATATGGCAACATAAATAGTAGATTAAATTTTCAAGAAAGAAACTCCAGAAAAGATCCAGTGGTTCTCAAAATTTAAGCTTTTTTCTAAGCGAACTCGGTTTTGAAAAACAGTAAAGGGAAAATATGTTTCTTTAGACTCCAGCCTACCTTATTTCAGACTCACCATGTATTATATTAATACTAAAATAACAAAACGATAACAACATATTTTTAAGTAAGTATATATAACAAAGCGTATAATAGTTTCGTAAAACATAAAATGGTCGAAGGATAAATTTATTGCTAAATATATGAATTATTCCGTTTTAAATTGTTTTAAAACAGTTTATAGACTTTCAGTCAGTGATGAAGCAATCATTTAACCGACAACAATTTTATATTTATACAGGGTGTAACAAAAAACATGCGCCATCATTTTTTGAGTAAAAAATAATAAAAATATTCTTACATTTTAAAGCACAATTATTCTTGATTTAATACCAACAAATAAGTGATTTTTTATTTTGTGTTACTGGCAGACGAAATCAATTTTTTTATAACAAAATCCAATTTTTCTTATTCTTGCGTCTCAAAAGTGGCTCACCCCCTGTAACTTTTTTATTTTTTCAGAGAAAAAAACGGGATTTGGTATATTAGTATATTCAAATTCAAATTCAAATTCAAATTTCTTTATTAGACCCCATTAAGTTTTACAGAATAATATTAGTATTAATAAATGTGTGTCTAAAGGTATCGCACCGCGATTAAAAAACCGATACAATGGCACAAAGTGCCAGAGTGGTGCGACCCCAAATACAAAATAGAAATAAATTAAATTACAAAAATAAACAGAATTAAAAAAATTAAAATTATATAAAAAAAAAGTGAAAATATAATTTTATCAGGGACGAGCGGAGATAAGCAGAGAGGCATAATGAAACAGTGTAAAAACCGGAACAGCAACCAATGACGGGCATATCAGAAGAACAAGATCTCACTAATCAGTCGAAGAAATTATAATATTTACGAATTTAGTAAATGATTTTTAATTTGTTTTTTATAATCTGTAAAGGATTGAAATTTAAAGTTATTAGAAATATTATTCCACAAATGTGGCGCTATGAAACTGAAAGATTTTTGGAAGTTAGCTGTTCGGTGTTGAGGAATTTTAAAATAATGCACTTGTCTAGTCGAATGATCATGGTCAACGTAGTGAAACAATGAGAACAAATAGGGAGGCTGCTCTGTAGTTAAAATTCGATAAATGAATGTCATTAAATGAAATTGTCGTCTGTTAGTCATGGATAAAATAGATAAATTTTTAAGATGTGGCGTTATATGATCTCTAAAAGGAATGTTAAAAGAAAACCGTAGACACGAATTTTGAAGTATTTGGATTTTTCTAGAGAATCTAGCGTTTATGGATGTACCATAAACAACATCGCCATAATCAAATAAAGATAAAATAAGTGTGTCACATAATTGATACTTAGTCTTTGATGGTATATATTTCTTAAGAGACGAAAAATTCTTCAACCGTATATAAGCAGCCTTTAATTTAGTAGTTATATGTGCCTGAAATGAAAGCTTCGAATCAAAATAAACTCCAAGATTTTTAGTCTCTGTAACAATGGGTATCGCAACATTATCTATATGGATATTCATGTTACCAGCCGTATTTGTAATTTTGTTTATATCACTACCAAATACTATAACACAAGATTTACCGGCATTTAATTTCAAATTATGATCTAGAGCATATTTATTAATTTTATTAAGATCGTCGTTAAAATTTAACTGAAATTGTGCCAAATTATTAGTATCTATTCTGCAATAAATTTGAGAATCATCCGCATATTGCTGCAATTTAGAAAACTGTAATTCCTTATCCATATCAGCTACATATAACGAAAATAAAAGTGGCCCAGAATAGATCCTTGAGGAACCCCAGAAATCATAGGAATATAACTAGATTTTTGTTTTAAACTACCCTGTTTCATGACAACACAATGTGATCTATCTTTTAAAAGGTTTTTTATCAATTCTAAAGAGCCGTCTGAAAATCCAAAATACTGTAATTTTGCTAGGAGCAATGAATGGTCTAGAGTGTCAAATGCTTTACTAATCTAGTAAGCTAAGACACGTCATATTTTTATTTTCTTGATTTGTTCTAATATCATTAACCAGCTTTAGTAAACAAGTGGTAGTGCTGTAGTTCTTACGAAAACCAGATTGGCATTCAGGTATTAGTTTATTTGAATCTGCAAATGAAACAATTTGATTATGTAGATGTTTTTCTATAATTTTAGAAATTGCTGGCAAAATACTCACGGGTCTTAGATCGTTGTTATTTAAAGGTTTGGAAATTTTACAGAGAGGTGTTATAATAGCTTTTTTCCATATTTATATGACATAAATTAAGACTGATTGATGTATTCAATTCATTTCGGTCACTTCCTGTTTTACCAGAAATGACTACAACTTTTGATTTTTAAACACCCTCAGTGTTTTTTTACTTTATTCAGTAGAAAATTATATTCTGAATAGAATGACATACATGTCAACTTTGGAAGAATACCGAGGGTGTCATTTAAAAATCAAAAGTTGTAGTCATCTCCGGTGAAACAGGAAGTGACCGAAAACAATTGAATACGTCAATCAATCCTAATTTATGCAATCAAGTTGACATACATGTCAACTTTGGAAGAATACCGAGGGTGTCATTTAAAAATCAAAAGTTGTAGTCATTTCCGGTAAAACAGGAAGTGACCGAAAACAATTGAATACGTCAATCAATCCTAATTTATGTCATATACTAACATACCAAATCTCGTTGTTTTTACTGAAAAAATAAAAAAGTTATAGGGGTGAGCCACTTTGGAGACGCACCCGGTATAGAAGGTGTTTCTTAATAACATGTTAATATTGGACCAATTCTAAGAAAAAAACGAACAATAATTTTTACTTTTAAAATACAGATGGGTAAAATTTTATAAAAAAATTTTTCATAATATCTACGACTTCCTAAGTGACGTCGTCAATGTTGGACACCCTGTATATTTCTACTGTTAAAAATAATGACGCATATTCTATTTGTACACTGCCTTATTCCGTTTTCACCAATAACTTAGGAACAAAAAATCACATGTTGAGAAAATATCAACCTCAAGTAACATTAATTTGCATAATATTTCATCGAAATTTTTTTGCTATACGGACTAATTTTAAAATAAATTAACAAATCACAACGAAAGGAATAAAAAAACTTTAACAACTACAACGGTCTACATAACCATAACAAATTCAATATGCAATAGTTTTTGGTATTTAAGAGTTGCGACGTCATTTTTTTACGCTCGTTTTGTGTCGACAACAGTACATTTTTAAATAACTAAAAATTGCTTAAAGGCTACAGCTAAAACTATTTCAACAAATAACAAAAACGATTATTAACGATAGATTAAAATAAAAAAAAACTAAATAATAGACTGTATAAAAATAATAACAATTTTGTATACTAAATTTAGGAATATACGTTTATATCGATGATAAGTTTGAAAAGTAAAAAAAATTGTGTCTAGAATTAAATTACAGGGTGTTTCAAAAAACATGTGCCTGTTTCAAAAAACTTTAATCCCCTATAGCTACGAAATAAAGCAGAATCCGATCTACGTTGATATAAAAAATAAATCGTATTTTTACATGAGGAACCTCCACACGAAAAATGGCACATGTTTTTTGAAACACCCTGTACAATAAGTATGTTGAATGTTATTTCAAAAGACACGGAAGTCAAAATAATATCAAATTATCTGCCTAATCATACAAATTCTCTTTCTTTTGGTTCACCCTAATATAAGTCTTTTTTCTACCACTTTCGTTTTCTGTAACAAACGCCGTAGGACCCAACTCTTCATCTTTATGCTCTTTGGTCTCGAACTTCTGCAAATCGGGAATGTTCGGCTCCGGTATGACGTAAGTAAAACTAGGATCGTACTTTTCCGGCTTATAATACCAGTCAATCTCTTTTACTTGTCTTTTTACAATTCTACTTAAAGGAGTAGTACTTTGCAGTGGTGGGGACTGTTGAACTGGAGTCTTTTGACTTCCACTGTAGTCATAATCAAAGGGTACCGTCACTACTTGTCGGGAAGTGTCGAAAACTTGAAGACCTTTTTCAAAACCGCCTGAGTGAAGGTGGGGTTGGATTATTTCATGAGTTTTGGAGTCTTCAGTGGGTAAATCATCGTCTATGGCTTCTTTTTCCTGGGTTTTAGTCTCGGCTTCTTCTTTCTTAGCACTTTCCTCTGTTTCTTCATCATTTTCTTCACCACTTTCATCATTTTCTTCCTCTTCATCCTCATTTTCTTCATTAGCTTCTTCCCCAGACTCTTGAGGCTTTTCAGCATCTTTCTTTTCTTCTTCCTTTGATTCTTCAACTTCATCTTCCTCTTCCACGCTGTTTTCAGCTTTATTCAGGTTATTTAAATTCTCCTCGAACTTTTTGTTGAAAAAATTGTCCAAATCTAAGTCGTCTTCGACGAAGGAAGTGAATTTATCGAGGTCCACCGGCTTTTTCACGTCTTCGACTATTTCTTTGTACCTGTCTGTATCTTTAATACCTTTAGGAATGTTTAATCCTTCAATATCTTCTACTTCGAAGTCCTCATTAATTAATTCTTTCAAAGTTCTATCGTTTTCTTCAAGAATTCTTCGTTTTTCATCTTCCTTAGACTCTTTACTTGGTGCTTCTTCTTTTTGTTCTTCTGGATTTTCGTCAGACTCTTCCCCAGATTCTTCTTGTTCGCTTTCTTCTTCCTTTTCTGTGTTTTCTTTACTCGATTCTTCTTTTTCTTCTGATTTTTTTTCATCCTCTTCTTCTTCCTCTGTTTCTTTATCAGCTTCCTCGTTGTTTTCTTCAGATTCTTTAGAACTTTCTTCAGATTCACTTGCTTTATCGTTTTTTTCTTGTTGTTCTTCAGATGATTCATTTTCAGGTGCCACAGGAGCAGTTTTTTCGTTTTTCTGCCCATCAAAAACAATCTTTTCTATTCGTTCTAGTTCATCATATAATTCTTCCGGTTTAAAATATTCAGGTTCTTCGTTTTCTTTTTGCAGTTCCGGATTTTTTTCAATCTCGGTTTTTGGTCCGGGCTCAGTGGTATCTTGAATCTCCTCTTTAGGGTTTTCGGGTACTACTTCAGGTGGTGTTTCATCTTCAGTATCAGATTCCTCTGATTTATCTTCACTATCCTCTTCTGGTTCCTCGTTTGGTTGTTTAATATCTTCTTCGTCAGGTTCTGAAGCTTCCTCATCATCAACGACATCGGCGTTTCCTACTTTAACTTCACCATCATCAACAATCTCATCATTATTTCCTCTTATATCCTCTGCATCATCTCTAGGGTTTCCAGTCTCTGTAACATCGGTGTTTGTTTCTGGTTCATCTTCTTCCTGAGTTTCTACAGGTGCTGTGGTGTAAGATTCAGGTTCATGCTCTTCAATTTTGCGGACAACATCTTCAATGTCTTCCTTATTGTCTTTACTGCCCTGAATTTGGGCTTCGAGGTTCGGTCCTGCTCCATTCATAAATTCCTCGGCTTCTCTAAGTAGTTCAAGAACCTTTTTTTGTTCGTGGGATAAAGGAAGTCCATTCCCCACCTCATTGATGTTCTCTTTGAAGAATACATTTTTGGGAGTGATGATTTCTTCAGAATAGTATTCTTGTTCTAAACCTACAGCCTTTGGCGTTACTGCCAGTTCATTGAAGATCGGTTTCTCAAATGCTTTTGGTTTTGGGGTTGATGTCACTTTCTTGTAGATAGGCTTTGGCTTGGGTTTTGATTTTTTGGCTTCTGCACACGGAGGTTTTGTGGTTTCTGGTTCAGGAGAAGATATCTTCGCTTTTTCTTCTTGAGGACCCTTAAAAGAAACATGATAAGGATCGTTGTTTTGATCATTTAGTTCATAGTATGGTTCGTTAATGAGGTGGGGATTTTGAATAGCGTTCTTTTTAGCTATGGCGTCGTTCAAGAACTTTTTCCCATAGTAATCGATAAGGTGCTGATGAATTACTTTGGCAGATTCGATGTTAGGCTCTGCCAAAGAGTCTTGATGATTAATGTTGTGTTGGACGGAATAAGATCTGGCTTGGGTGAGTGGATGGGTGACTTGGTGAGCGAAACTAGTGCTGTCAAGGCTTCTTACCGAGCGGTGATGGTGCTTGTTGATCAGTTGCAATTCGGAATCGATCGGTTTCTCATCTTTCAGTTGGTTGATGAGTAACAATGGTGCAGGTAGGATGAATGGGCTTTCGTCTGACTTGAACGGGGCACTTTTGAGGAACTTCTTGATGTCTTTGTGGAAGGTGTTCTTGTTTGAATTGAGGGTTTCTCGTTTTGAATCTGAGGAGTCTTCGGAGTAGTCAGGGAAGTCAATGTTAACTCTGGAAATCGTAAGAATTGCTTTAAGATAGGAGCATAGTTTAATTTTTTTATAGTAAGTAAGTAAAAACCCTGTCTACTAAAATTTATTGTATTTTTTCCATAGCAACTGTTAAAATTGCCTTTATATCTATCAAAAATAGTAGATAAAATAGTACTTTAACCGCAAGGGTAGATTAAATGATACTTTAACAGCGAGGATAGGTTAAAAACTTTATTTCTTCTCGCGCGTTTTTTAAATGGTTCCATTTTTGAAAATTTTTGTATTCCTTTTCATAAGTTATTCGGGATTTAAATGGAAGTAGTTTGGATATGGCGTTTGTCGCCTCAGCCTGAATATCTGTTGATAATTTACTTATTTCGCTTTGAGCCATTTCTGGCTCCAATTCAATCAGCAATCGACACGAAAGAGAATTAAAAAATATTGACTCAAAACTGACAACTAAAGAGACAGCTTTATTTATTTGTCAAATTGTATAGAAACCAACGCCAACCCAGCACAACATTTTTTCTACTCGTAATAATTTCCTTGAAATAATAATTTCTGAATATTTTTTAAAACGTAACTCGGCTATGGAAAAAAATATTGTTTTACACACGACTATAAAATTGCATTATCGTCTTGTATAAAAAGTGACCAAAAGTTCATTCATAATTTTAGCAAATCTTATAAACTTATTCTGGGTTATATGAAAAAAAACTATAGTATATTTTACATAATTCAGTATCCAATATTGAGTGCAACTGTTATTGTTATTTAAATAAAGTACTTTTGTTGCATTATGCGATATCCAGTATAAGATTTCTAATCCTACTGCACAATCCTAAGAAAAAAATTGATTACATCAAACGAAAGTATGTTTTGTGTATTTAACCGCGGAATTTTCATATTTCATTTATTTCTTAATAATATATTACTAGTTCTCATGAGCTTATTAATCTGTCGTATAATAATTATAAATTATTATATAAATAAGATATCTTATTAATTAATACTACAGGGTGACTCCAAAACATCGGCATTTTTGATATGTCAAAAATAACGAACACATTTTTATACAGGGTGAGTCTTAAATAAGTGCAAATATTTTTAGGGGTAGTATATTTCGATCCCAGAAACATGATTATGTTTTTTTTTTCGCGAAAACGTTTTGTGAAAATTTGGAATTTTTTGAAAAATTTTTTTGGAAACTTTGTTAGTTTTTAGTCAAAACAGACAATATAGCAATATAGATAGTAGATAACATTTACAAGAAAAGAAACCCAGAAAAGATCCAGTGGTTCTCAAAATTTAAGCAAAAAAATATTGTTATCGGAAATTTTCACAGTAAAATAACTGTTATTTTCGACTTATTTGGAAAACGGCAAAGAAAAAAAAAATGTTTATTTTATCGAGATCTACCAGCTCTAGAAATATTTGCACTTATTTAAGATTCACCCTGTATAGGTATTTGTTTTTTCTTTTAAAATATTTTTTTAATAAGTATGTAATGAAATTTGGTGAAAAAATATATTCTTTAATTATTTTTGATCTACTCATCACTTAATTCCAAATGAATATACTGGGTGTTTCTGAAATGTTACTCACCCGTATAACTTTTTTATTGTTTCAGATAAATATACGAGATTTGGTACAAGAGTATATGACATAAATCCGGATTGATTGACGTATTCAATTGTTTTTGGCCACTTCCTGTTTCACCGGAAATGGCTACAATTTTTTATTCTTAAATGACACCCTCGATATTTTTTTACTTTATTTGATAGAAAATTACACTCTGAATAGAATGACATACCATTTGTTACCTTTTGACATTTTCACTAAAAAAAATCGTATTTTAAATTTTAATCTAGAGTACCTAGTCTGTGCTAAAACACTAATTTTTAATCAAGGAGCCTTGGGAAAATAGATTTGATCGTCTAATGTTTTTCGAGGGTCGCTCATTAGTATATTTGGAAAAAGCGTGTTTTATGAATAACTTGTTACCACACACTTGGTATTTCGTGTCAAATTATTGTCGTTACATTTTATAAGCAATGACACTGTAAATTGAAATTTGAAATTCTATTTTTTTTAATTGAAAATGTCAAAAGTTGACATATGAATGTCATTCTATTCAGAATGTCATTTTCTATCAAATGAAGTAAAAAATAGCGAGAGTGTCATTAAAAAATCAACAGTTGTAGTCATTTCCGGTGAAACAGGAAATGACCGAAAACAATTGAATACGCCAATCAATCTTAATTTATGCCATATACTAACACACCAAATCTCGTTTTTTTATCTGAAAAAATAAAAAAGTTATAGGGGTGAGCCACTTTTGAGAAACACCCGGTATAATAATATCTAGATAAAATTATATCCAATTTGAAATTTGACTCATGGGTGCACCAGCCTGAGGAAGATGCTTTTTCTTTTGACTTATGTTCCTTTTGTATTATAAAAGGAACATAAGAAAAGATCAGGCGAAACCAAAAAAATATAAACTGTCTTCAAAGTAACTATTTTAAAGCCTTTTTCAAAGATTCACAAAAATCTCCTAATTCTGACAATATGTCTTTCCAGATTTGTACACTTTACATAAAATTACATAAATTTTTCAAACAGTATTGATAGAAAGTGTTTCAAAATGGAGGCAATGATGTAGCTAATCCGAAAAGACTCATTTTTTGACAATCTGATTAAAATACTAATAGTGCATGATTTAAAAGAAAAAAAGAATTGTTATACTTACTTTTTTGGATTGTCATTGTACTTGATATCTTCTTCCAACACATAAGCCTCTTCATTAGGATCTCCAGTCTCCTCCTTATAAATCCTAGTCTTTTTATCACTAATCGGCATCAGGGAGAGCACTTTATCCTCCAACTTGTCTCTCACATCTTTTAGTTTCTCCCTAGAAGAATTTGGAACTTCGTTATTCTCTCTACTTTCCTCATCATCTTCTTGCTCTTCCTCTTCCTCTTCTTCTGGTTTCTCAGCATCATCATCATTATATTCACCAGAAGGTTCACATAACTCTTCACCAGGAGGCGTATCCAACTTAGGAGGAGGTCTATGTAGATCCAATGGACTACCTGCCTTACCTGGAGAATCTCTTGGTGTAATGAGCACTTGTTCTTTTTTCGATGGATTTCCGTTGTTGTAATATATTCTTTCGATAAGTGATGGGACTACTGGGGCTTCTTTGATGGGTAATGGTAATCTTGGAGGGAATGGCCGGGCTGGTTGGGGCATGTTGAGGTTAGCTATTGGTCGAGGGGCTGGTCCAGGTGCTGCTGGGGCTGCGCCAGCTGCAGGAGCTGCAGGTGGCTGGCCTGGGTAAAGTTTTAGAGTTTAAATGTCTGGATAGATTCTCAAAAGTTGTTTTTTTGCTCCTTATAATTTGGTTTATGCTTAAAATTTATTGCTTTTTAAAGAATTCAGGCATGGGCTTAGTACAAGAAGGAATTGGAATGTAAGTGGCAATCACGTAGCTTAGATATCTCCTGTACAGGGTAGCTCAAATTAGACGTTTTTAAAAAGAAACTCCCTTTTCTATAATAGGAGATAGACGAAAACTAATATCGGTGTCTGGAGCTCAATTTTCATCAAAAACATGATGGTGAAAACCGCACATCAATATCTGTTACCGTTTCGGAGTTACGTGATGTTTTTCAAAAATGTGCATTTTTAACAAATCGCTGTAACTTTTTTGCTATGGAAAATTTTGTATTTCTATGAAAACATTTCCAAAGCACCTTTTTACGTAGAATTTAATGGTTTAAGTATAATTTTTTTAAAATTAATAATTTAAGAGTTATCAACAGAAAAATTGCTTTTTTATTTGGGACACCATCTGCATTTTTAATTAACTGAAAAGAATTTAAAATTACCTTTCCAAAAATATAGCACACTTGATATTTTGTTATAATCCTCTTCGAAATACAGAATTTTTAAAAGTTCGCCACTTTTAACTAGTAGGCTTTGGACCCCTTATTGATGATTTGCCCTTAATGGAACTCGAAAACCTATTTTTCCAGCAAGACGACGCACCGCCTCAGAACGCTGAAGTTATCTGCAAATTTTTGCAGCCAATTTCAAGAATAATTGAATAGCTAACCAAGATCCCAGCCGTTGGCTTTCGAGGCCGCCTGACTTAGTGCCAATGGATCTAATCCTATGGATATATTGGCGGAAGAATAAAGGTTCCTTATTCTTCCGTATAATCTAGACAAGAATTAAAAATACTTAGCAGTTAAGAGAGGGTATCTTTCACCCCCACTGAGTTAATGAATTCCGCGAGATACGTTTAAAAAATACGTTTTTATTGTTATTAGATATAGTTTAACTGTGCTGATGTTGGTTAAATATATTTTAAATTGTTATACAATTCTGCACCTCTCATAGCAAATATTATTTTCGTTTTAATTGATGCTCACAGCTAGATTTTTTTGCATTACAGCCGGTGCCGTACAAAGCCTACTTGTTTAAAGCGGGCGAATTTTTATATACTCTATATCTCGAGGAGGAATCGAGCAAAATATCAAGTGTGTTATATTTTTGGAAAGGTAATTTTAAATTATTTTCAATAAATTAAAAATATACAGGGTGTCCCATATAAAAAATAAAATTTTCTGTTGATAATTCTTAAATTATTAATTTTAAAAAAATTATACTTAAACCATTAAATTCTACGTAAAAAGGTGCTTTGGAAATGTTTTCATAAAAATACAAAATTTTCCATAGCAAAAAAGTTACAGCGATTTGTTAAAAATGCATATTTTTGAAAAACACCCCGTAACTCCGATACGGTAACAGATATAGATATGCGGTTTTCACCATCATGTTTTTGACAAAAATTGAGCTCCAGACACCGATATTAGTTTTTGTCTATCTCCTATAGAAAAGGGTGTTTCCATTTAAAAGCGTCGAATTTGACACACCCTGTACAGTGCGACATCTAAGCTACATGATTTTTAAAATTACCATAAGTAAAATACCAATCCCGAAGAAGCTAACTTTTTGATTTTGCAATTGCTAAATCCCTAGAGAAAGAATAACCTGTATTTTTTAAAAGTTATCACTAAATGCATGCATACAAATATTTCAAAATATAATAGAATAACGTAAATTATATTCAACATTTGAGAATCAACCGTATATAGTCTTGTGATAAGTACGTCTTGGTTAAAACCAATAATGTATTTAAAACAGATATTCTGTACAAAATACACTGTTTGGTACTTATATGTATATAGTATTTACGTAAGTAAATGTAAGTAACGTCCATATGGGTTTCAGTCAATAACTTGTCGAAAAGGTGAGAGAAATAAAAAAGAGAGATTTTCTGTAACAGATTTTAATGATCACATAAAAAAGGTTCACTTACATTCTTACAGTAAATACTATAATATAATATAAATAAATTAAAAAAAAATTATAAAAAAGAAATAAAAAAATAACTTAAAAGAGAGAGATAGTAAGATACTAAAAACTAAAAGAAAAATTAATGTCCAGAATCCATCATGCTTTTATCCTTTTCAACTGGTTAGCCTATAAAAAAATATACAAAAAGTATGTTATTTAGTGCTATAAGAAAAATTAGTGTCAACATGCGTGCAAATTTTAATTAAAGTTAATTTGCCATTGAGAATGAGAGGAAGGTTAGGTTAGTAAATCCCAAACGGGGATTTTGGAATTGCAAGCGTGGCAGAATGAAACTTAAAGCACGCTTAAAGTATGTATGATAACCTATACAGAGAAGACCAGGCTACTAGCAACATAGCAAGTTGCCGGACGAATTTGCGTTTACCCGATTTGCTTTCGTACTCGAGATTCACTGCCCGCTAATCGGCTGGTCAGGCGTCAGGCAGTACGCAGTTGCAGTTGTGCTTGGACGGGTCGGTCGTGACAGATTAGTAATACGACGCGAGGAGTGCCGAGTATTTATCATTTTCATTTTAAGTGTTTACCTTCACTTTAGGTAACTTTTAAAATAAAAATACTTATTATTTGAGTGTGTTTGCAAGCCAAAACTAAAAATAAATAAATTCTCTAAACCCCAAAAAAACTAAAGCATTACTCTTAATAAAAAAAAGTTATAACAAGTGTTCAAAAAGACCACCTTCTTGTGCTAGACAGAAGCCTAGGCGGTGGTAAAATTCCCGTCTGACATTGGCTAACATATTAGGGCTAATAGTTTGGAAAGCCTCTTGTATTTTTATTTGAAGCTCATCCAGAATATTAGTACTATTATGACCATACACTTTGGATTTTACATAACCCCACAAAAAGAAATCATTGGGAGAAAGATCTGGTGATCTAGCGGGACACAAAATAGTTCCATATCCACTAATTAAACGGTTGGGAAAAGTATTGTTCAAATATTCTTGAACAATACGGGCATTGTGGGCAGGGTAACCTCAGCAATTTGATTACTTGAAAACGTGGGATTTTGATCCGCGGTAGCACAAATGAACACTCCATAGATTTAGTAAGAACAGATATCACATTGTGCATTTTAACCCTATCAAACAATCGGAGGTTGACTACGTACTGTAAAAACCAACTGAGATAGAGAAGGCGACATTGCCACATCTCAAATTTGCGCCTATCTACTTAGTTTGATTTGCAGAAAAGGTGACTTTAAAACCTTCACCGGATATCAAGAAATCTCAATTTCCTAATAAAATTAATAGTTTATTTTTAAAGAAGCATGCGTAATAATATGGTTATTAACCAGAGGATATATGCGTTACTATTAAAGGACGTGTTTACTGTTTAATGTGCTGAAACGTCTAGAACTATTGGCAACGTCGCTGCTAGTCTTCCTGAATGAAATGAGCCGTCCGTCCCACCACCCCTCGCGACGGCCCTTGGTCCGTTACAGCGTACTACGTTTAGCTTACGGTATGTTTGAAGTCGGAATCAAGTCCGAAGTGAACTTTTCAGTAGTTTTTGATTTTGTTTAACATACTTTTGAATCTGCGAATTTTCAATATGGTAGGACAGTGTCAAATGCGTGGAAAAATAAGCTCAAATTACCCGAATTTGTCTTTTCACAGGTAGGTATTGTTTCCGCCGTAATCGTACATAGGCGTCCCACAAGGGAACCTCTCACAATTAAAATAATTTCTAATTATATTTGTTGAATTTTGATCTATTAAAACAAAAACGTAGTAGCCGGTAATTGAATTATAATTCGTCTCAATTACTACCTAACTGTTGTAGATCATAACAAATTTGAATATAAACGTTGCATATATTTGAAACTTTATTATATGCCAGAAAGTGAATTTTTTTTTAAATTGCGTCATATTTTGGTCATTATATACGATATTCTAAAGGATTTTGCTCAACAAATAAACAAAGGTGTTTACCCGTCCTTTTTTACATTTTATTGCTTTATTATATCTTATATCTGCGCCTTCGGTCTTGTTTAGACAAGTTTTTACCACCGTACAATACAAATACCTTTTCCTAGAGTTATTTGTACGGGTGTTTACCTTTTTTTAGAATGGGACGAACTGTAAATAATTCTTAGGCTACTAGTTTTATACATACCTATATACAGAGTAACCCAGGCCTCCAAAAAAGCTTTTTACCTATTACGTTTTTGGTTTGTGATTTTTATTTCAATCTTTACATAAGATCGGGGTCATTGTAACGCACATTTTCAAAATATTTTTGTCAACATACAGGGTGATTCAAACCGCAATACATATGCTTAATACAGTTCATGAAGATTGGGACGTTTAACTAAAATTTGATTGTCTCTGATTAAGCTACATAAGTAATGGATTTGTAAATAAACGTAATATTCATTATTATACGACAGAAATCCCATACTGTAGCACACAGATTTAATACTTTTAATGATAAATGCCCTCTATTGAGAGACTAAAAGGTAATTGCCTCGTATCAGAGCCATCATAATACGAGAAGAAGACCGAAAGTCAAATCTTGTCTTATATTTTCAAAAAAACACAATTTTCTCATTAAAATAAATATTGAGTTTAGGTATAGGAAGTTATTAATAATACAAGATTAAACAACTATTACACAGTACTTCACAGGAAGCTATCGATTGCAAACTAACTAAATCGTTACTAATTACTAATTTTGAAAAGTTCTTTTTAAGATAAAAAAAGGTAAAACTAAAACCTAAACTATCATTTGAGATTAAACGGGAAGTTCTAAATAATGTTGCCTATTCTAAGCAAGAAAAATTTATTTATAAGTTTTATAACACCTCTAATTAAATTTGGACGAAAAGAATATTTCTGTTTGCTGTAGGTAATTTTCTGAGAGATTAAACGGGGTTATTATTATTAAA